TTGATCCAGACAAAAATACGTAGGAAAATTTTAAGATTATTTTTACTATCAGAACAGAGTTTGAAATATATTTTATGGTCGACCGATTTTGCTCCTTATTAGGACTACGTTTTTAAACTTCAAAAATCCATCGACACCATCTAAAATCATTCGTTTGAGTTCTAGTTTGGATGAAACTTCGTTTTAAACCTCAAACTTTTAGATTCCGATGGATCTTCCGAGATACAAAAGATTTTTGAAAAAGTGGACCACCCTAGTCTGTATGCTCGACAGCCCGTTCCAGCGTTGCACTACTACTGGCGCCACGGTATATTTCGATCATAGACCATGAGCATAGAGCCCACTGAAACCAACGCTGATGTGCTCTCTCTCTCATGTCGCGACCAACATCCTTTCGTACCCTCGCCCACCACGTAAAAGAGAAAATAATTTTTTAATTGAAGGCGATAACGTCTACAGCCGAAAAATGCTGTTTTCAGTGGGGGGAGGGGGATATGTACTATTTAATAATTGTTATTTAACAATTTATTATTATTTTTGAGTAATTTTGAGATCTTTTTTACAGATACGATGAAAATTAGCTTAACAGGCTGAAGTAGATAGTAAAAAATAAAACTTCAAGAGTATACCATCAATTATTCGTGTTATAATAATAAAAATAAAAACGAGCCTGTGGGGAGAATTTGAAGCTTACGCCTCAAAAAAACACAGTGTACTCGATAACTTATGATAGGTTGGTCGAAATCAAATGAACCGAAGTTTTTTTTTAAGTTTAAATGATCTCGAGGGTGCTGACGTCAAGTTTTTGGTGACAATTTGAAGTTAAAAAATGGAAAAAAAAATTCGAAAAATCGTGTTTTTTTTCGGAAAATAGTTTATAAATTTTGAAGAAGAAAAATCTCGACGTCAGTACCTCAGTAAAATGCTTCTGAAAGAAGTGTGTAAAATATTAGAACGACCGGTTCAGTACTTTTGGAGTTAGGATGTTCACCGACTCAATAAATGCGATTGCAGAGGAAACACGTTTAACGATTTTGATGGAAAAAGCGTGAATTTTATTGTATCTCCTTACATTGTCTATGCCGGGTAAATGCAAAAGACATCTAGCATATACTAGCGGCAACTCTGGTTGCAGTATGCTGAGCGCAAATTTTTATGTAATAAAAGGCGAAAAGTGCCATTTTGCGCACGGTTTTTAGTGAGTTTTTGGACACTGGCGTGCAGTAAAATTTTATGTAATAGATAACTTTTTATTACCAGTTACTTTGAAGGTATAATAATTGAGCCATGTTCACATTTTGGACAGATAAATATTCGGAATGTGTAAAATTTGGAATGTTTGAAAATCGGAATATTGAAAACGGAACATGAAAATTCGGAAAAACAAAATTTTGGAATAAAATAATTACGGAACGAAAAAATTTCGGAAAAATTAATATTTTGTGGATTCCGAATTTCATGACGTGAGTATGGTTATTTTTTTCAGCGCATAACTGCACCCATTGAAAAGTATATAAACTTTCGTACAAGCGCCAGAAAATGAATAAATACGGGTTTTTGTAAAGTTATTGTAAAAATTTAATGATTTAGTATCATCACGAATGTTTAGTTTATTGGAATTGCTCAGCATTCTAAAACTCGAGTTGCCACTTGTATAATTATCATCAGTACAACGTTAACTGAAACACGATGTAACTTAAAACTAACACAATCATTTTTCGTTCAGTAATGTTACTCGAAACACGATTTATAACATAATTGTAATCAGTACGATGTTACCTAAAACACGATATAATTATAAACAAACGCACTATCGATACATAATAATACCAATTAAAATTCATGAAAGATAAATAATCTATAAAAATTCATACGAATTCATAGAAAAAATGCATACGAATTGCATAAAATTGCATTTTAATGCAAAAACTAAAAAAATAATACTACGAAAAGTATGTTTCATCTACCAAATAGATTATGAAAAAATTCCAGTCAAATTTGACTGAATTCTCGCATTTTTTAAAAAAATGCATTAAAACTGCATTAAAGTGCATAAAGGGTTAAGCAATCGAGAATATGAAAGTCATCAGAACTTCACTTAACTCCCCTTATCAACTCCCTCAATTTTCAAAACGATCGATCAAGCAGTACTCGCGATACCACGTCACAGAAAGCCATCGGAAATTTATGGGAGTTCATGCAGGGATGACTTCATTTCGCTCAGCATAATAAATTTATAGCACTGCGTGGCATAAGTTTACATTTATGGCACGCTTTTCGGTGGCATAAGTCGCACATTCTGGCACCGCTGCGATCACATCACACTCGCATACGCTCGTGTGCTAATCTCACTTCGCGTTACCAGAAAGTGCGACTTATGCATCGATGCATAAGTATGCAAAAAAATGCAACAACAATCATATTTAAGGTCCCCAACAGATTATTCAAAAAAATTCCATCAAATTTGAGCACATTCTCATAATTTTGAAAAAATGCATACAAAGTGCATAAAAGTGCATTTTCATGCATAAAGGAAAAAAGTATGCAATGAAACTCATATTTAAGGTCCCACACAAATCGTTCACGAATTCCCGTTAAATTTGACGTACATCCCAAAAATTCAAAAAAATGCATACAAATGCATACAAAGTGCATCAAAGAGCATTTTCATGCATAAAAAAATAAATGTCATGCAACGAAAATTATATTTAAGGCCCTCTTAATATTTGACGCCAATCCCACAATTTCAAAACATTCTTATAACATGCATATAACATGCATATGAAGTGCATAAAAGTTCACAAAGGGTTGAGTAATCAAGTCCACGACCGTCATCAGATCTTCGTCTAGCTCCCCTTATCCACTCCATAAATTTTCAAAAAGATCGATCCAGCAGTACTCATGGTACCGCGTCTACAAAAAACCCTTGCAAAATCACGGGAGTTCATGCACAAATGACTTCACTTCGCCCAGCATACTGCAACTCTACAGATAGCTGCAAAAATTTTGAGGTTGAATTTATAATGCTCGACATTCTTATATCAAAGTCACACATTGCTACCCCAAAGTAAAGAGCACTAAACATGCGATCGGGGCTAGAAAACGAGTACATCATACTTCAATTCAAAAGGCTATATATCTGTGAATTTTGCTTAGACGTATATGAGGCTTAGAAAATCGACCAAGACAATAGCAAAAAAAATTTTAATTTGGTCGAAAATACTAACCCCCGCCCCATTAACAAAAATAGGTCCTCGAAGCCAGAGCTTCTGATGAAGAATTTTTAAAATACTGATTTTGAATTCCTTGTCAAATTTGAAACAATTTTGACCGTTTCATTTTTTCAGATTAAGACTTCATAGCTCAATTTAGAGCATTAAGGGGGAAAAGGTACCTTAAATCTACATTGATAAAAAATTTATTAAAAATGAAAAAAAAAAATTTTTTTGAAATATACAGACAAAACTCTGTTTTTTTCTCAAGTTTTTTTTGGGCAAGATCCATGACCCGGAGTTGGGGTGGTCTCCTTGTAAGTAAGCAAAAAGCACTTTTTTTCTAAAGTTTTTTACTCTGGAAAATGAAAATTGAGGTCCCAGTCACCTTAGAATGAATATAGATGGAAAATAGACGTTTTTGGAGGGGTTGGGGGTAGAAAAGGGGGGGGGGTCTAAAATATTGGTTTGGGGCACTGTCTAGAATTAACTTATCGAGATCGGACAGTGATTATCTTTCATTGCAAGCCAAATGATGAGCTTTCAAGGGGTGAGAGCAAGGATTTGAGCAATTCAGGGAATAACAGCCAGTCTAATATACATGAGTATATTAAAGGAACTTATAACAGTATACTTTTAACTTATATTAGTTTAATATCTGTATTATTCTGTAAAAAAGTAACAATAAACTTCAACAATTTAATAAAAAATATTCTTGAGAGTGTGGCTAAAACTATTTTGCGAAAAATATTCTCATTATTGCAAGTATAAAATTGAAATTATTTAGAAAATATAGATGTAACAGAATATTTAATATAAGTTCCTTTAATTTACACATGTATGTTTAATAAAAATTTTTTTTTAATATTCAAAGTAATCTGCGAACAATATTTTTATGCATGAAGTAAACTCTACAAAAAAGAATAATTGGAATGAATTACGCTTTTCTACAATCAGCATTTTTTAAAAAAGAGTACTACAGATTACTTTTAGGAGGTTCGAAAGTTACTCTTTTGGGCTTAGAGTGTATGATTGTGCTAACACAAGTTATTCTATGCTCAATTAAGATGCAGTTTCAAAGAGAATTATTTAATTTTAATTACTTTATTTGGAAATTACTGTAAAATGCAGATAAAATTGAAAATACATTTTCAGGTGGTTGTAATATAATTTCTTGTGCATGATAAATGTCTAATTGATTTTTTCTTAATTTTGTTAATTGAATAATTTTGATTAATATTCAAAGAAACTATTTTGTTTATAGTGTACATAAACTTTTTTATATACATTTGTTACAATATAATTTATCCACTTTGGCTGTTGTAAGGGTGAAAAACCTGTGTTACCCTTGTATATTTTTAATATCTATAGTATTGAGACTATGATCACATAGTCATGGTACTATATAGATTCAAAAATCCATAACACATAATTGAAATAGCAATTCATATGCAGTAATAGTATTTGTACTTTAATTACTAATTATTTTGTATCTCTTATTTGAGACTTATAGCAAAAGTTGTAATATTGCTTATTGGACTAAACATGATGTGATTAGTTATGCAAAAGAATCAAGTTAAATTAGATTCAGCTACATTTCTGTAAATAGATTTGTGAATAGGAGTATCTACTAAACTCTTTTATTATTCTTGATAAATTAAAATTTAATCATCGTAATATAATATTGATGACTTTTGATCGGAAATTTCAATAATAATGTTGAAAAACCCATTTAAAAGTTGGAGAATGTTTCTGTAATTAAATTTGAAATTTAAATATAAAACATACCTTGATTTGTTCAATTTTAAAAATTCAGAAGTAGGAAATATGTAGAATTAAATAGAAATGTACTGCTTCAATATCACTGGTGTTGGACACAGGAGCACTGTTTTTATCAAAAATTCCATTTTGGTCTCTCATTAATATACACTGCAACTGTATTGGAAAGTTCAACTCACAAAAATTTTTAATCAATTTATATATATTTCCATAAATATTTCAATATTAATTACTGATTCAAGTTATTAAAATAGTATTTAGACTCATTATGCACTTTTTGTTCAGAATCAAATACATTGTAAAAGTTTAAAATCTTACAGAAGTGATAATAAATTATCACTATTATCCAAATTTAAAAATTACTATTACCAATTTTCGAAATCAACACAAACAAAATAAGTTGATTAAATTCATAAGATAAAAACAAATATACACACATTAATACATATGTACAACTTAATGTATATACATATAATATATATACATATATATATGCTTGTGTGAAGATAAGTCTCTGGATGTGATGTTCAAGTTAGTAATACTGAGATTCATTAGATTAAAAACTCACTTTGCACACATAACACTTTTTAAGGCAAAAATCAATACTGTATAAGCAATTTGGAAAATAATATCTTTAAGTAAACCATCAAATAAAATTATTTTCAGCATTATTTGACAGCTCAGACCTTATCAAATCATTGATGAATTGTATTGTAGTCTTAGACAGTCCAGTTTTTCAAGAGTAAAATAAATCGATTTTTATGTCCATCATTATCACTGAATCACGAAATATTAAACTGTCAAAAAAAATTTATATTTAAGTATGCAATGCATTAATATGTAAATGTCAAAATAGTTGAGACGTAAGTTATAGCCGCTAAGCCTATAGTATAGTATCAGTGTAAAGTTATGAACAGTTAAGGTCGCACTAAGGAAAGAAAAGAAACACCAATAAGATGAAAAGAACACTAAAACGGATAGTCTTGAATGAGCCTTGAAAGTTAAAAGACGAAGTGTTCAAGAGCCGAAATATCGAGCCTCATAGGTTGTAGATAATTACCCCATTGAAAAAAATCAAATAAGAAATCAGGTAATAATTTAATATTTATTCAAGTTGACCAATAATTATATATAAATTACAGACATTTTAAATAAATAATTTTCGAGAAATTTAGTAAATGAAAATGAGATTCGAACCAACGCTCTTCAAATTTATGAGGCATGAACTCATTTTCGCCGCCAGAGGACAGCAGCGTTTTTGGCGCGAAAGCGTATTATATATGAGATTGTGTTATATTCGCACTCCAAAATAACCTATAATATTATTGTTTCGCGAACGCGATATGGTATATATAAGTATTCAAATACGGGTTATTTTAAAGTGCGAATGGACATTCTCTTAATATATGACTACTCTACATAAAGCGTGATACGCTAAAAAAACGGCCCGTCCAGTGTGAATGTGTTCTCTTAAAGAGTGCATTGTAACATAAAAATCCTGAAAATTTGACCCTTTTAATAATTTCCTATAGGATCCCACGAAATTCCTACTGGAGTCCTATAGGACTCCGAAGTGTACATTTTTATAAGCGAAACCCCGTAGGTCCATCCCTCAAACTGAAAGTCGTTTTCTTAACATATCACAAAAAAATGTTTTCTCTACAAATATGAAAAACTTGATGACTCAAACAAAAAAGTGCAAGAAAGGTTTTTTGTCGTAAATTATCCAAATTTGTAGAAAAAATGTATTTCAAAGCGATCTGAGCCCTCTCGAAGCTTGCACAACAGAAATAAATTGAAAAAAAAACTCGTAATCTAATCGAATTAGATCATTACTTTCAATTTGAAAACTATCTACAAAGCTTTCTGAAGATGAAAACTACCTGCTAAAATTTGATAAGCTTCGAAGTATAACGAACAGTATATAGACATCAATGAGTGTCGAAAAACGTGCTCAAAACGTCAATAGAACCAAAAATGTGTATAATTGCCTAAAAACAGTATTTTTCGACGTTTTCTGCACGTTTTTTGACACTCAACGATGTCAACTATTTGGACATTAATTTTGTTCCTGGAACGTGGATTGGAACATGTATAAGCACAAAAATTTCACGTTCGAATAGGACAAAATTAATGTCCGCACAATGTCCATTGCTCCTTAATTTGATGGTAACATTTTGCGCGCGTGAACTGCATGATTGCATGAGCCGAAAGCCAGAACTCCTAGTGCTGATGTTGGACAACGGAGTGCATCATTCAGGAGGAAAAGCGTCAGCACAAGGAAGAGCACCGACCCCTCGGCTCCAAGGTGTAGTCCCAAAAGGGATGGAGCCCGATATCAGAACTTCTAGTGCTGGCGCTGACCGACGGAGTTTACACTCATCATGGAGGAAAGCCAGAAAAAGCGAGAGGTGCTCGCAAAGAGGCGGAAAAGCGGGACGGTGTCGTGGGTGAGACCCGGACCTCTATCACATGGACGGCTACTAGTTTAGCTTCCGGCGAGTTCTGACGAACGTACCAAGAAGAAAAAAACATCAACACAAGGGAGAGCACCGACAAAGACGGCTCCGGAAGGCGGGAATGACGCTGGATGAGGGCTCCGCGGGGCGAGCGGGGGATCACCAACGAGTTGACACGGTTCCTGAACCCCTGATCACTGCGCCTTGGCGTGCGGTGGATGGGGGATGTAGGGAAATGACCAAATACGTCGATGCAGCAGCACTGCTAAAAGGCACCCACCAAAGTAATATCTAACGATGGTTCCGGTGGGAATCATGCCAGAGTTCGGAAGGGCCACTGGTGCAAGGGTTTACCCTGCCCACGCCCTCCCCATAAAAAAAAAAAAAAAACACACACACACACACACACATACACATACAACTTACCTACACGGCCTCCTTGGCTCAGTGGGTATAGTTCTTGCCTGCTGATACAAGGTACGCCGTAGGGCGTGGGTTCGATCCCCACCGGACGAATTTTCGAGGTTCGTTTTTTCGCCTGGTGTGGTCGAGCCTGTGCCTGAGGTGGAGCGGGTACCACTCAAAAAAGAAGACCCGGGCTATGTCATCAGCCTCCGAAGCGGTAAAAAACCCCCGATCACTGTGTGAGCTGGAAGCGATAGGACAACCATAAGTAGGAGCCCGAGGCGAGGACTCACAAGGCTGGCAATAGATGGAGCACACCACTCCCATGATGAAGTCAGAAGCGAGAACTACACTCACAAGACGACAACAGAAAAGGAGGAGCACTCACAGGGTAGCGCCAGAAGCGAGAACCACACTCACAAGATGTAGCCGACAGAGCAAAGCGGCGGACTTGCCATCGGCTGCAGAAGCGAGAACCACACTCACAAGATGGCACTTGACAGCGAGTTCTAAGAAGAGAGGCCCAACTCAGAAGGAGATGCCAGCAATGTGAGCCCACGCAGACGGCTCTGAAAAAGGGGATATGACAATCGACGATGGCAGCTCGTGCAGGATCGGAGGTTCACCAAGAAGATGAAGATGAGTCCCTGAACCCTTAATCGTCGCATATCACTATGCGACGGATGGGGGATGTATGGAAAAACAACGACTAACAGGAGTAGCAGAAATGCTCAACTAACCCCGGCCTCACCGAAGCAATGNAAAAAAAAAAAAAAAAAAAAAATACAACTTACCTACCTTACCAACCAGAGAGAAAGACCGGAGATCGATAAAATAGAAAAGCAGACGCCTGCATATCAAAAAAGCCCCGCGAGATAAAAGGGCACCGCCAAACGGGCATCTCTTCGAACGCGAGATGAAAGACGCCGCCGCAATTTTCCGACCCACGATGAAAGGTGCCGCCACAAATTCTCCGCACTCGCGATGAATGACGCCGTCGCAATTTTCCGAACCCACGATGAAAGGTGTCGCCACCAGAGGCATACCGAAGTAGGCAAATTCTCCACACTCGCGATAAAAGACGCCGCCGCAATTTTACGAAACCACGATGAAAGGTGCCGCTGCCAAATGCATACCGAGATAGGCAACTTTCCCGAACTCTCGCCACCACCAAAAAGCTCCAACGACATTTCTCCGAAATCAGTGCAACTTCGCCTACCGAGCAATCATTGGCGCTCCCTCCCTTGCCCTCCAGCCACCAAAAACCGGTGGCTTGATCACCCGACCGGCGGCTCCCCTCCTTTTTCCTCCTCGCGCCGCCGATATCCCGTCGAGTATATGAGGAGTGCAGCCCTTTGACGCTTCGTCATCTAATTAATATAAGAGCCATTGCGATTATAGATCGAATTGAACCCTCTTAGAGCCAACTTCATGTGAGTACAAGAAATATTTTAGTGTCATCTATATACGCCCTCTGTCTGTAGTTAATAATATCTTTCATATATTAAATTACATACTCATAAGAGTTCCATGCGCGCGTAGCGCGCACATATTAAAGTCTAGTTCATTATTGAACAACCACCTGAGCATCCCCCAAAGCTCTTGGCTGATCGACTTGCGAAATAGTTGCATAGACAACCTCTGTTGGACTTGAGCTTTGATAGGAGAATATCCGTGAAGAACTTGACCACGGGGCTGTCTCGCGGACTTGATCTCGAGACCGATCATCGAACTTAGTCTCAGAACTAATTAACGGACATAGTCCATCGAACGAGAATATCTCAGTGCAAGGTTCCGATACCAAGCACCGATATTCCCTCTTCCCCTTTTGGTGATCGACCCCGTGTTCGAGTTTCAACCCGGGCAAGTGCCCCGCCGACCCGTAACTCGGGCCAGATTGCCTACAGGAAAGAGTCGCGCCACCTGAGTCTCACGACTCGCGGGTCATTGACCTACCCTTGCAAGCTCCGACTTGCCGTCGAACGAGCGGAGCACGCACATGCGAATATCAACAAGTCTGTTGTATTCTATTGGCTTGACCTCCCCCGACGTAAGTCCTCCTCGCGAGAGTTGAGGCAACGTCGACCCACCTCTCTGAGGTCATTATTTTTCATCGTTCGTGCCATCGATACCAGGAGTGCATCTACGACTTCTTCGCGTTTCAACGCGTTTATCGGGAATCGAACCCACATCAGCAGCCAAGCAGAAGATCGCCTCCGTACCGACCTGCATATCCGTCGGCTACGCGCTTGCGCAGAAGCCCGTGCAAGGAAAAGCAAGTTCGGTACATAACAGTATCTTGATAAAAAAAACGAGAAAAAAATTTTTTCAGATTTTTCGAGGCTCCGTATCGTTCTAAAAAAATTATTTTCGTCAAAAAAGGGGTTTTTGGCTTCAAAAGGTGCGTTCAAATCTCTGAAAAAATTTGAAAAAATTTGAGGCTACTCTTTTTAATGAAATAAATAAGTGAAAAAAATTTCGAAAAAGTTATTGCATTCTAACCCCGTATTTGAATTTTTTAAATTTTCATTAATTTTTTCTGAAGGCCTGAAGCACTCAAAAAATCTGAAAAATTTTAAGTTGTTTAGTTTATTGGAACGTATTTTTGTGAATTTTTTCAGATTTTTTGATTGTTTCAGGCCTTCAGAAAAAATATAGATAGAAAATGGACGTTTATAGGGGAGGAGGGGAATGTACTATAACATACCAAAAGCGCGTCAAGATCGGTGACATACGTGCGGACGAAAATTTAAAAAAGTATTATTTTGACCCATATATATGTTGAAAATATGAAAGAATGAATTGATCTGTCGAATTGACATTATATTATATTTTATGTTATGAAATAATTAGATTATATTTTAATAATTGTTCGATTGTTCGAACTATTAATTATGTACGATCACAATACTCAATAATTACATTCTTTTCTTTAAGGTGAGATGCTATATCCTCAAGATGTCGCTACTGTATATTGTTAACTTAATTTCATCTCGAAACAGTGACTTATGCTACATTCACTTTTAACCAGCATTTGAGCATTGTATTCAAATTGGTTATTGAAAGACTTCATATGTGAGTCAGCATATATACAAATAAATAAAAATTGATTGCAAAGATTTTTGATATAACTCAAAGTTCTATACATCGAATTTCCTCGATTCATTAGGACGGGTGAAATTATTTTGTAGTTAATTTTATATCAGTGTTCACTCATCGAACATGGTAAGTTATATCAAAATAATCAAATATTATAGTTTTCTTATTATGCAGGATTGAATGTCTTAAAAATACGAAGGAATTCCATAAAAAATTAATCGCTCATGAAATATCTGTTACAACTATATATTTTTATATTTATTTACCGAAAACTCATTTATATGACACTGTTGTTACGGTAATACAGCAAAAAAAAGTCTTATTTCTGCTGCTGTCTAAGTTGTAATTTTAATGAAACCCACCTGAATTATAATTATTTTGGGCAATGTAGTTATTTTTTTAATACTTTTGACTTCTTAATAATGTCACAAAGCTTATTATGATTACATGATTAATCAGACATAATTTCAAAATGCTGCTATTGATCTCATCTGTAATAAAAAAACAATCTTCCAATTTCAATCCTTGTGTTGCGTGAAGCGTGCACGAATTTCCTTTGCTCCACAATTCCATAGTCTTATTTTTTTCAATTTTTTCTCTAACATAAAGTTCATTTCAGATAATATTGTTTATTTAAATCATCTGCTTTACCCTCAACTTATTACTGATTAAGTGCAAAAATTAAACTGATAATTATATCCATTGAATTTTTATTAGCCCTTTTTTATGAATTTTAAAATATTGATAATAAAGTGGAAATAATGGTTTATTATTGTATAATATCTCATTTTTCTGAATAGTTGTAATGATTACAACTTTTCAGTTAGTGAGATTTTTATTAGTAATTGGTATTAATAAGATTTGGACAATTTTAAAACTTAAATTGAAATATATTTTACTGTAAAATGTATAAAATAGATTTACTGTTAAAAACTGAAATTTTTTCTTTTTTATATTAAAAAATATTAATTTTCGATTCACAATAAATTTAAAACTTGGGGGTAAAAAGAAAGCTATATCATGAAATTGTCATTTAATACCTTGATTTCAAAAATTTATCTTGTACAGCATAAGAAACATTCATGTTAAACTATAAAAATTGCAATTTTGATATTGCCAGATCTGATGTCCAATTTAATGTCAAATGATGCTCGATAATAATTTAATTATTCTTGTTAGTCTAATATTATCTTCAAATTAAATCTTTGTGCCTGTAGTCATTTTATACAACTAGCTGCATGATCAACTTTTCATAATTTTGTGTGCAGCAAAGCGCAAAATTTAACGTTCTCAATTGACTGTTGACCACACTCTTAGCAATTTACCTTCCTTACTTCTTTGGGATGTGATCGTACTCCATCAATATTTTCATATCTCAATATGTATCATCCGTTGTTAAGAAAGAGATGGGGGTTGATTGAGGTTCATGAAAGCAATAAATAGTTTTCGTCGTATACTGAGTCATTCAATCCAGAACTCTATGCTATGAAAAAATTGTCATTATTATTTGAAAGTTCTTTACAATTTTGAGGCATCACCCATGAGTTGTACACAATTGAAAACATCAATTTCCAATCTTATTTTTATCATGACGATAGTAGTTTATTCCAGTTCATTTTTATACGACTCGCTGCATCTTAAATTTTACTCAAAATAATAGAATAAGTTTCAATTCCTTCTACATTTGTAGCTTAAGGAGGTTTTTTCACCCATCTAACTAAGCAAATAAGTACATAATCAAAGGGTCTGAAAATTTGATTTCATGGTTACAAAGCTAAATCTTTAAACACCAGTGTCATTTATTCATATCTAGAGATGGAAAATTGAGTTTTATTCCATCTAATACTTTTTAAAATTTTACATCAAAATAAATAATAAATTCTATGTCTTCCGGAGTTCCGGAGTTCCGAGCAATTTAGATTCAACGCAAGCATAGGCTTGCGTTCCAACATAGAACTCGGAGTCACGATTTTTTTTTCATTCCAAAAAAAGGAAACTTTAAAACCTTCAAAACTACCACTTCAAAACTATTGTATTCTTATTTACGAAGAAGATGCCGCAGCTCTAATTTTCACCGTCAAAGCTCTCAAAATGTACATTTGCACAATTTTTTTAGACGGTGTACTTATCTATCTGTATTGATTCAGTGAATAGCTGTATCAAATTTTAATCGATTTCATTTAGTAGTTCTCCCGATAGTTTTCCCGGAAAATAGGATCGAACTTTTCAATTTCCGCTTAAAAATCTCGACCCATCTTTCCTAGGAAAACTAATAAATGAAATTGGATGAAACTTGGTAGATGTTTTCTCACTCGCATTACGAATGGCTCCAGTTTAGAAAAAAAATTTGCACAGATATGCAATATATACTTGTTTGGTTCATTTTGCAAACCTTTTCGAAATCGCGAAATGATTTGGTGGATGCTTAGAGTTCAAATCTGTTCAACTAAGAAGCCGTAGTTTAAATTTCTTAACAGACAGACTTTTAAAGTTTAAATACGCAGTCCGAAAATACGCAAAATTTCTTCACCATACAATTGATTTCAAATTTTGCTCATGAGTTCCTATTTGTACAGATTTAAAATCTAAGAATCCACTGGATCATTTTAGGGTTTCGAAAATTTTTGTCAAGTGAACCATCATAACATACATTTTAACCGATTTGTCGGCGAATCGGATGCAATCTCCCCCGAATATAACACGTATTGTCTATAATTAGGGCTCATAAAAGCAATTTGATGCTCTTCACCACAAGACTATAATACGTGAGCTAAAAAATTTACAATTTCTTATTGAAATATCTTTAAAGTTTTATTTATATAAGCGACACGAGTAATTTTAATTAGGTTATAAAATGATTGATATGAACTTCTATGTTAGTTTTCCCTTGTAAACAAATCGAAACATTTTAATTATACTTAATTAGATTAAAATGGCGGCTCAAAAATATCCACTAAGATTTCATTAATTGGATCCGAAATAATAAATGTTTTTAATTGCAGAGTATATTAACCTACAATGGTGGGGCTATTATAGCTATGAAAGGCAAAAATTGTGTTGCTATTGCAGCCGATAGAAGATTTGGCATTCAAGCACAAACTATCTCTTCGGATTTTCAAAAAATCCACAGGATGGGTCCACATTTGTACCTTGGACTACCTGGACTTGCAACTGATAGTCTAACTGTATTAGAGAGATTAAAATTTAGACTAAATTTGTACGAATTAAAGGAAAATAGAAACATGAATCCTAAAACATTTGCTTCTATGATATCTAATCTTCTATACGAAAAAAGATTCGGACCTTACTTTGTGGAACCGATTGTTGCTGGACTTGATCCTGAAACATTTGAACCATTTATTTGCAACATGGATTTGATTGGTTGTTTAAATTTACCAAATGATTTCGTAGTCGGTGGAACTTGCTCAGAACAACTGTATGGTATGTGCGAGGCATTATTTGAACCAAATTTGGAAGCTGACGATTTGTTTGAAACCATAAGTCAAGCTCTTGTGAATGCTTGTGATCGAGACGCTATTTCTGGTTGGGGAGCCATCGTCCACATTATGTTAGTAAAAAAAATTTTTACAATAAAAATAAAGTCTCATTTATTCATTGAAACTAAACCTTATGTATTAATTTCAGAGAAAAAGATAACATTACTACTAGAACTGTCAAAACTCGCATGGATTAAGCACTTAAACTCGAAATTCATGGAAATTTTCATCATCTATTCTTATGTAAAATACACAATATTTTCCCGTTTTTTGCAACAATAATAAATAATTTATTCAATATGAGTTTTACAACCTTTTACCACGATTTATTTCAGTATATACTTCAATATTCACATCGACTTGTTTTTACCCTTTAGAGTTACAAAGTTTTTCAACTCCTCAAATACACTACTCAACAAAATCATCGCAACAAAAAATTTCATCGAAATTTTGTCAATTTTCAAATGCTACTATCTTAGTCTATTTTCATCGTATCGTATATGTATTATGTATGAGTTCAAGTCAATATCGCTTAAGCAGTAGCATTTGAGTTCAACACTAAAAGTTAATGAAAAAATTGATTGTTGAAAGGTGTCCTACAGTAATAATTGGATCAAAATCTAACTTATATCATCACAAAGTACTCTTTTTACGAGTAATTAAAAGAATAAAGCTCACTACGATAATTTTTGCGCCCAATAGGTTGTTTTGAAGGTACCATTTTAAAATACGTAAAATCCCGCGTTTAGATGAATAAAGATTATATGAGCAATTCTCTAAATGAAACGCATTTTTGGAGGTAGAAGCGTGGCAAATTTTTTTTAACCTACGCAGATACGGACCCCCGGGAAATGTTTTGGGGGGTCCTAGGAACATGTAACCACATAGGAACCATTGAAATTTCAATAGTGCTTACTTTTATAGCTACTTTTGTGATTTAGAGGACGAAAAATCATGTTTTCTCGTAAATACGGCTAATTACTCAATTTCCAAGCCGCTGAAAAAGTATCAAAACTCATCTAAAAAAAATAACTGGCTACTGTGTTCGATAGGAAATTTTCTCAGCTTTCTAATGGTGCTATCAGATTTTCCCACAATTTGCTCATTCACCGAGAAAATCGCCATCAAACATGCCAAGCTAAATATCTCGAAAAACTCGGTACGGAAAAAGTGATTTTTGAGGTTTATTTTCGATTTTTCTTTGTGAAAATGAAATTTATCGGAAAATCTGACTACACCACAAGAAAGCTGAGAAAATTTTCTATCGAAAGCATATCTTCATTTATTTTTTGAGTCGAATTACAATGTTAAACATGGGAATTTCTTTTACTTTGTTCGCTGTTTTCTGTTTCCGAGCTGATTCAGCGCGGTCACGAGGTTTTTGGCTCGCTACAATCAAAACTAGCTCGAAATTCCACTGACAAAATAAATGAACATATGATTTCGATAGGGAATTTCCTCAGCTTTCTCGTGGTACAGTCAGATTTTCCGAAAAATCTCATTTTCAACAGGAAAAATCAAAAATAGACATCTAAGATCACTTTTACCGTACCGAGTTTTTCGAGATATTTAGCTTGGCATGTTTGATGGCGATTTTCTCGGTGAATGAGCAAATTGTGGGAAAATCTGATAGCACCATTGGAAAGCTGAGAAAATTTCCTATCGAACACAGTAGCCAGTTATTTTTTTTAGAAGAGTTTTGATACTTTTTCAGCGACTTGGAAATTGAGTAATTAGCCGTATTTACGAGAAAACATGATTTTTCGTCCTCTAAATCAGAAAAGTAGCTATAAAAGTAAGTACTATTGAAATTTCAATGGTTCCTACGTGGTTACATGTTCCTAGGACCTCCAATAACATTTCCCGGAGGTTCGTATCCGCGTAGGTTGAAAAAAAAATTTGACGCGATTCTACCTCCAAAAATGCGTTTCATTTAGAGAATTGCTCATACAAAACACATGTAAGGGTTTATTACTTTTAATTTCAACGCTTGAAATGACCTTGAAAAAAAATCAAATAGCATATTCAAAAGTAAAACTTTCCACTTCTTTCAAATCTACCATAAAGTGCCTATCAACGTGTATTTGTGGGGAGTGCGACGAAATCTCCGCTGACAAAATCTCCGGCGACACAATCTTCGCGACACAATCTCCGGGACAAAATCTCTGGGCGACTAAATCTCCGCGACATAATCTCCGGGTACAAAATCTCCGCCAAATTTTATTTTATATTTTTCTACTTATTAGATGTTTTTGGTATGTGTATAAGTGTGTTTGGGATGCGTGATAGTGTGTTTTTTCCCGGGAGATGATGTCGCAGAGATTTTGTCGGTATTTGTGTCTCTGTAGAATTGAGGTTATGTTCAAGGGCACCAAAAGTTTCCCCGTTAAAAAACATTTTAGATACATGGATATGTGGATTTTTCAGATTTTTAGATCATTTCTAGCTATGAATTTTTACTATGAATCCAATTTTTAAGTTTTTTACAATTCAAATTCATGTATATGGCCGATTTTCTGTGAAGTTGAGTGGCCAAAAAAATTTTTTTTGCAAACATGAAAAACTTGTTATTTTCGATGTCGGATTTGTCCCCAAAAATTTTTTAAAAAATTGGGGCTTCGGGTTACCGACTATTCAACCTTTTGACAAATCAACCCGACAATTCATCCGGGACATTTCAACCCGAAGACAATTCATCCGGGACATTTCAACCCGAAGACAATTCATCCGGACGACAAATCAACCGCGACAATTCAACCTGGGCGACTATTCAACCGCGACAATACATCTTGGGCGACTATTCATCCTCAATAAAATTATACTTTTATTTTATATCATTTTTCTCCCGTTTCCTTTGATTTCGGTATATGTGAGTGACTATACGTGATATTATGGCTTAAAACAAATTTCAACACCATATGTAACGACGTTAATACACAGACACACAGGACAAGACTAAGCGGCATATGTAAATAAGCTGCTCGAAGTAAGCTGAAATCACACATAATATAATGTTGATACTCACACACACATACACACTCTGGTATATAATCTGCTCGGGAGTGAGCTGAGATCACACAATATCACGTATAGTCACTCACAAATACCGAAATCAAAGGAAACGGGAGAAAAATGATATAAAATAAAAGTATAATTTTATTGAGGATGAATAGTCGCCCAGGATGTATTGTCGCGGTTGAATAGTCGCCCAGGTTGAATTGTCGCGGTTGAGTTGTCGCGGATGAGCTGTCGCAGGATGAATTGTCAAAGGGTGAGTTGTCTGGATCCCGGGGCTTCTATGACACTTTTTTAGAGGCCCAAAGTTGGTCATGCCCTAATAAAAATTTTCTATAGGATCTTATAGGACTCCTGTAGGAATTTCGTTGGATCCTAGCTATAGGATATTTTTATAAGAGTATTTTAGAATTTCTTCGAAATTCATGGAAAATCGAAAATATTCAAATAATTCCTATATTAGAGTAGGATATGATTCAAAAGTAAAAGTGACCAAGAACTGTTTTGTTGGAAATTGTCCAAATTTTCTGACAATAATCATTCCAAAGTGATTGGAACAATCTGTGGGATTATAGAGCGTAAACAACTTGAAAAAAAAAAAAAAAACAAGAAATCTAATCGAGTTCGAAACAGACTTTTTTTCCAAAACTATGTAAAAAGCTTTCTAAAGATGTCAACTACTGCCTGATAAAGTTTTGTAATGGGTCTTTAAGTGTAACGCAATGTTGACAACAATATGTGTCGAAAACCCTCAAGTACAAGGATACGATAGGTTCGTATAAAAACGCAGTAAATTGTGCAAAAACATGATAACATTTATCGTATCTGTAACTGAATCGTGCAAGAATAAGGTCTAAAAATGGCTATTTTTGGTGATTTTAGGGATTTTGGACTTATTTTTTACCTTTTTTGCACGTTTTTTGCCTCTATTGTTGTCTACATTAAAAGGAGCTTACAATAGAGAAACATTATATAGTATTTTTTAGTAGAGTTTTTTCCCCTTTCTATAGTATTTTTTTTAGTTCCAAAATTTAGCCCTTATAAAAATTTCATGTAGGATCCATGAAATTTCTACTGGAATCCTACGGGAAATTTTTTCAAAGGTGACTTTGAAAAAAGCATAGGGGCATTTTTGAACGTAAAATTTTCCATTTTTTTCTGATTTGTAATTAAGAATGGGGGTTATCGCGTGAAAAACGATTTTCCAAGATATTTTGTTTGTTTTAACTTTTAGGTAATGTTCAAGGTCAAATTAAAGGTCACCAAAAACTTTCTCGTCAAAATGAATATAAAATACATGGGTTTGTGAGTTTTTTGAATAATTATATAAGGTTTAATTTACTGAATTTTTTAAAATTCTTTTTTATATTGAATTTGAAAAAATATTTAATTTAATTTTGTAGAAATACTTTCTTTTTTCTTCATAGATACTTCTTTTTCTTAGATTTTCTTCATAGATACTTCTCTTTTTTAGTTGTTTATAATTAACAACGAACTCGTTTCAAAATCGAATCTTACTTAAATATTAATTATTAAACCCTGTTAATAATTGATATAGCTTCGTCGATCGTTGTGTTAGAATCATATTGATGCAATGTATTTTAACTCAAGTGTTGTGTCTGGACCATAACAATTCTTCGAATAATAATGCCTTTTTTCTTATCAAGACCTTAATACAGCAGAAGTAAACTGTCTGTGTTTAAAACAGTACATATTAAAAATAATTGTATTCATATTTTGACAATGTTGAGTTAATCAGTTTACAAATATCATGGCTGCAACGAGGAAATTGCAAGGTATTAATTATGATAATCATTTCCATTGAAATCATATATACTTGCGTCTATTTAATTTGTAGTGAGCATGAATTGATGTTGAATTTTCATAATTTATAAATTGGTCAGTGTGGAAGACTCTTTTTGAAGTATTATTTTAGAGGACTATATAGTTATGAAAAGTTTTATTTCATATTACTTAATGAATCAATATTGATAACTCATTTATACAAAAAATTATGTATACTTTTATACCTTATGTATATGTATACTTGGTAAATTATGTAGTATCATATTATACTACTTAAATTTTATTTAGATTTTAGAATTAAATAAAGTAAATAAAAATTATTAAAATAACTTGTTTCATTCAAATTAAAGTTTGCATTTATTGTTTTTATTTTCAATAAGTAATGCCTAGTAGAAATTGAAGACAATTTTATTGATATGATCTACAATTTATATTGAATCATTAAAAGTTTGATTTATCAGGTATTTTTCATACTTTATTGTGCAAAATAGTTTGATCACTACAAAAAAGGAATGCATTATAATATTTAATACTTTTGTAAACTAGATTTGTTTGGTTCGGATCAACATCCTTTGAAAAAATTTCAGCTAGGAATTTCATGTAGGATTCTCATAATTCCTACATGAATCCTATAGGACTCCTGTAGAAATTTTGCAGGATCCTACAGGAAATTTTTTCAAGGGATCATAATAAATTTTTCAATGTCAAGTAGTTATCTCAAAATCGTCAACTTGAATTGTTATCCATAACGAGGAAATTTTTTTTTAGTTACTGCCAAATGTGATATAAAGAAAATGATTCTCAAGTAATACATAAATTCAACGCTATTAACAAATTATTCAACTTTTAAAAGATGAAATTCGGTCCAATGCATTATTTAATAACTAATTAAATTAACGATAAGTAGCTCATTTATTATCAGTTGAATTTTTTCATTGAAACTGCCAGTAGTAGAAAATAAAAATTTCTGTTACTGAAACAGTAATTTAATTCAATTCATTTTTCAATCAAAAAGATATTTGCATGAATTTTCAATTCTACATGTATTGTTTACTCAATCATAGCCAAATTATACTTACTAACTTCATTCATTTCCAACATTGAAATAAATAACCACATTACACAAGAAGCCTAGAACATTTTATATAAAAATTATTTAAAACTTATTTTAAATATGTAACCCCTGCAATATTCTACAATACTTTAAACCTATTTATTTTCTGTTAAAATGCCAAAATGATGTTAACATATTATGAATTATAATTAAATGTATTCTGTTTCAACAATGTAGTGATATACTTTTAAACAAACAATGTGGCTTTGCTTATTAAACTGTAAAGACCACAATGAATTAATTATTGTCATTTGTACTATTCAAAAGAGTACTCATTGCCAAATTATGCATACCACATTATGTGAAATGAAAAATTTTATGTGTAATATTTTTAAATTAATTATTAATCAAAATTAAATTATGCAAATTAAAATATCAATAAAAAATTATCCATCTTGAAATTTTTTTTTATGACTAAGGTTTTAATAACATCATTAATAGGGTACTTTTTGGCTTGTTCAAAAAAAATTTCTGGATTTCCTGGAGGAAAATCTAGCTTGACATCTCCTGAAATGCAGCTCAATTTGATTCCAGATCCAGCTCAGTTTTAAAATGAACATAAGGAAAATTAAGAGAATGATGATAATTTGTTCAGCTAAATCAGCACTCATGGAGTTTTATTAAAAATCAATGTCTTTTGAGATAGAGTAAACCTGTTAGTATCCAACCATTTTTATTCGAGTCATAGGACCTTTAGATTTAATTGTACATTATTAAATTGCAGTGTATTTAGTCCTTTATTATCAAATTAATGCATTTATTGTGTCAAAAAAGTTAATATAAGGAAAATAATTAAAATATACCGTGTTGAAATATGGTCAGGTACTAAAAAACTGGATTTTTTGATAGGCTACTAGATGATAATTTCTTGAGTGGTCTGGTACTAGCTGGCTTACCCTATATGATTTTGATGGAGTTGGATTTTGAATCAAATTGAGATACATTTCCAGTCAAATGCCGCTGAAAATCCAGTAATGTTTTTAAACAACATGGACTGTTGATTTTTTTAATGTGACTGATTAAGGTCACTGTTGCATGCAAAATGATTTTTGGAAATACCACCCCTTAGCATTTAAATTATTATTCCTAAATTTAAAACTGGTATGATTAGAAGAGGTACATGAATGTCTAATTCATAGTACAAGTAATTTAATGAAAAAATTTGAAAAGCTCAGTTTTCTGACAAAATTCTAGTTTTCTAACTCTTATAAGATTAATCTAAAAAAGATCTTGTAAATAAAAGCTCGACATTTTTCTTAGGTAATTGAACAATTTTTTTTTAAAAGCTATTGCGTGGAGAGGAAAAGTTTTCAAGTTGTCGATAGAAAAGAATGTTTTTAAATTGATCGAAAAGCATCCTCAAAGATTCAGTTATGTCCAAAAAAATTTAAGAATGTTCTTTGAACAATTTTAAAACATCTTTGTTTAATTGAATTTTTCTATACTATCAATAGACCCTGAAAAGATATTACTGTAGTTGACCAAAAATGTTTAATGATATTTCTTTAAATTTGAACGTTTTCTATTGCTTAGGAGGTACCTGCATGCAACTTTTACTGAACAGATTTCAATGAAACTTGGAGAACGTCATCTAAATTATAAAAATAATCCCTAGTTACATTTTTGAGACAATTGGTTAGATATTAAAAAACATTTGATAAATTAATTTAACATGGACCCTTAAGGGAGCGAGTCTAATTTCAAAGATATCTCAAAAATGACTGAAGACATATCAATCAAATTTTGCATGTAGAAAGAGATAACAATTTAATAAAACATCCAAAATCTAGAACAGTTAAATAAAATTCGAGAAAGAAAATTCAACCAAGGAAAAGAACAGAAGTTTCACTTATGGTTCTAATTCTTACACAATGTATTCTAGATTATCTAATCACCAGAAGTAAAACTTCAGTGTCTTTTCCTTGGTTGAATTTTCTTTTTCAAATTTTATTCAACTTTTTTCAATTTTGAATGTTTGTTTTTCAATTATATTTTAACTTGCTTGAACTTCAATTTTTTTTTTTTTTCAAAAATTTTTTAAGACTTTCTTTATAATGTTTTACTTATAAATTTTTCAAGATTTTTTTACTTTTATATCTTGATGTTTTTAGATAAATAATTTTAGAGAAATTTCACTTCTCATGGCTGTCCATAGAAAGCTAGGCTTGAGGGCTCTCTACACACACTCAGTCGATAACAAATACGTAATTATTTTATACACATTTTTTTTATTCTCTGGGCAACCAACTTGAAATTTCGTGGGAGTGATTATGAAACTTATGAAAATGTGCCTATGTCACCAGCTTTCAATTAAATGACCGGTACTTTCAAACAAACTTGATTTTCTGTGATTCCCCTTTTATAACCTACAAAGCAACGTATTCTCAAACAATTAGTTAAAATGATTTCAATGAAAATTATATTGAAATCTTACGACATAGGCACATTTTTATAAGTTTCATATTTCCTACCACGAAATTTCAAGTTTAATGGTTGTCTAGAAAATAACAAAAATGGGTACAAAATAATATCGGCATGTCGGTATTTGTCCCTCTGTATAGAGGAGCCTTCATATTTTAGATTTATGTTTAAATATTCTTTTTCATAATTGAATTTTTCATAAATACGTTACGGTTGGTTACAATATTTATCAGTGAGTTCGCCGACGCGGCCTCGACTCACACTACCTCAATTAACGATTGGCCAGAATCATATTTCACGCGTTAGGGCAGAGCTAAGAGTGGCGCTGCAATCACCATTTATACGTAATCTTCTTATGAAAAAAAACAAGACGCGTCCGGAAAAACGCCGGCGTCGGCCGATCAAACTGAATTTCCAAATTTAAGAGAGTCATACACCAATTCACTCCTCTTTGGCATTTTTGTGATATAAATCACAGTAGAATGTCAATCTACATTTTCAACACGAAATGAACATCTGTGAGTTCAAAAAATGTGGAAAAAGTTGCAGAATAGGCCTTTGTATCTAACAATAGCTTATTTTTGCTATTTTAGCATTTTGGCACTGTGCGCAAGATTCAGATCAAATTTTTTGAGGTAGAGACTCCTAGTACGGAACAAAATCTTCAGGAGGATGCTCTCCATGGATATAGTTTCGTGTAATTTGGCCCTGTCTATATACAATCTATATATTCGTACGATTATCGCGCCGCTTACTCACTCGCCCGTATTTATGCTCGTTTTTCACAGCGTTATCCCTTATACCTAACGCGTCTAAAGAAGTTTCACTTCAAGAAATGGAAAACACTCTCACCACTCAAGTTGAGTTAAAGCTCAGATATGAGCAAATTATTGGTTATATCACTACATTTCTAGTGACTTAGATACGCGAGAGCTAGTACGAGAAGCACAAACATAAGCTCGTTATTCAAATTTTGTATGTAACAGAAGGATACAAAAGTCATTTCTTTCGTAATAAGTTGATGTATAAAAGAATAGTTTATGAACAGTATTTTTACTTTTTGGTGAGTTTTGTAGGGAGGGTTCACGGATCTGCCCCAAAATTTAGTATGTCATTTGGGTATATGAAAATAGCCTTCAACTAAATATTTAGCACTCTATGGGCCCTAGGAACCAAAATTGGGCCTCTGAAAGGTCTAAAATTAGTCGTTTCACCTAATTTTGCGTATTCTTCAAATAGTCGTAAATCAGGCACCGAAGCATATTTTTTAACCCGGAGGGTCGCATTTTTTAGGTCGAGACATGTCCTTTTCATAAAAAAATTATGCAGAGCTCGATAACCACATTCCCGGTTATTGGGTGGCATTTAAGGGGGAAGAAAACTAGCAAAATTTTCGCTTTTCAGCGTTTTTTTCAATGAATGTAGAATACGATTAGATTGAGCCAACGATCTCTATGATACCTCATTTTACAGGTATTTTTATTACCTTTAAATAGCCGTACTCAAGGTTATGATTGGTTTAAGAACGATGGAGATACAGCCATTTAATGATATCCTAATAACGAAAAGTACCATTTTTTGAAGATTTTCACACGCTGTAACTCCGGTCTGCGGGTGAATGAATCTTCACGAAATTTTATGTGAAAGTAGTTGAATATATGCAGTTTGAAGCCCTGTAGGCTAGGATCTTGGTTCTTGACTCTATTGGCCTCGAGTCTATGACATGTAGCGCCCATGGTGTCAGGCAAATGAACTGTGAGCAGTCAATGCTTGTGAGAGTTAATGTAAAAAGATACATTAGAAACCACGAGTAGCTGCTTTTTTATAAGTAAAAAAGGATTGAAAACTAAAGTGAAGAAAATAAAAAGTAAAAGGTGTTGTATGCGTTATTGCAAAAGTAAGAATGGCGTAACACAAGTGCCTTTTTATCATTTCCCTACAGATAATAAGCTATTTGCCTATAGAGTAACTCACAGAAATGCTTGTTTTATCAATGTAATGTTGTATTATCAATGATTGTTTATTTATCAGTTGTGTATGGTGGGTGCCTTCGTGACTTTGTATGTAAATACATGCAATTGTACACATTTCTAGACCTCCCCCAGTTCATGATACCGACCCCGCGCGCTTGGCGCTGCAATCGAGACTCGAGGCCAATACCCGAGAACGAGGATCCTGAAATCCGATATTTTAGCCTTCATATAGGAAAAATATATTGAAAAGTGTGCGGCAAAACTATTTGGTAACTCCTGGAATTATCGCAAAGTAAGCATTAAAAAAATCGAAAGTCTCATATCAAATCCATTTTTTGACGAGGAATCCAATGGTAATCTTGAATTGGGCCTTGAACATAACCTCTAAGCTACAGCGAACGAAAATCGATTTTTCACCTAGTGATCCCCATTTTTTATTTCAGATTTGAAAAGAGTGGAAAATTTCACGTTTGATTACATGTTTTGTTTTTTTTCAAGGTCATTTTAAGGGCGCCACAGTTCGAAAATGAAGCCCTCATTTAATCTTATATTATTCTCAGTTAAAGAGTTTATTCTCGAGCTGTGGCGCAATAAGAACTTCAAAAGTTATTATCAAAAACTGAGAGCTATGATCCAAAGCAAACAGAACGTGGAGTAAGTGAAAGTTTTATGTTAACCTTAACTCACTCAGCAGCGTTGTGGAAACGTAACTCAGGCAGGAAATTGTGTCTCTCTTGCACGAGTGAAATATTATATTTCTCATTATCGAGTGCAGAAGACGATTTTAAAATTTTCTCAGGCCGTGCCGCGTAAGAGGTAGCACTTCTCGCACGCTGTGATGAAATGGTATAACACTGTCCCTTACATATACTATATTCCTTCAGTGTCCCGAAAATAGGTTTTTCATGCTACCGTTCATTTGCTTGATATATGATACTACACCCTGCGACAAAATGATAACCCAGGTGAAAATGGTATGTTAGATCTGACCACAGATCTGATATAAGTTCTGGGGAACGCACATCAGATCTTATGCCAGATCTTATATCAGAATTTGTATACGATAATCGACATCAGAACTTACCTCAGATCTGACATCAGATCTAATGTCAGATCTCAAACGACTGTATCGCCCCTAATTGTTTAAACAATAAATCCATTAATGAATAAAATTTAATAATCAATTAAGTTGCATTTTAATAATCATATTAACAGTACCTTTAAGAATAATTCCTCCAATATTTGGGTTTTTGATAAAGTGAATTTGAATTCTTTCGGTAACTTTTATTGTATACGATTTTTTATTAAATTTTAATTATTAATAAACTAAATTAAAGGTGTCATAGTCACTTCAGATCTGACATTAGATCTGATATCAGATCTGATGTAAATTTCTGATATCGATTATCGTATGCAAATTCTGATATAAGATCTGGCATAAGATCTGATGTGCGTTAACCAGAACTTATATCAGATCTGACCTCAGATCTGGAGTCAGATCTAATATACTATTTTTACCTGGGAACAACAAACTTTTTTATTGAAATTGTATCCATTATCAAATGCTTCGATCTCAGTCAATTTGGATCGTATCGGGACGATTTTTTTCTAATTTTCTTAGAAAAGTTTTTGTCGCGGAGTACATATTGGCCATTGAAAAATACTGTAAAACAGTAAAATATCTTCTTAAGAAAAAATTTCTCAATGTTATTTTTTATTTAAGGTGAAATCGATAGATGTCTCAAAAAAGTATCGGAGGGTGTTGAAACATTTGAAGATATTTGGCAAAAAGTTCACAATGCTACTAATAGTAATCAAAAAGAAAAGTATGAAGCAGATCTCAAAAAAGAAATTAAAAAACTTCAAAGGTTACGAGATCAAATCAAAAGTTGGATTGCCTCGGGTGAAATCAAAGATAAGAGTACGTTATTAGAGTATAGAAAGCTTATTGAAACGGTAAGTATATTTTTGGCAATGATTCTTTCGTTGTTCAGTTTTTTTCTGATTGTGCATGCATAAGATTAGTTATGAACATAATGAGATTTGTAGAGAAAACCCGAGACACATACGATTAATCTTGCGACGACTTGTCGAATTTTAAGGGAAATGAAAAATTTTCCGGCTTCGAGAGCTTGACTTGAGTGGAATTCATATTAAACAAATTTTTCTGGACAGCTTCTTTTAACCTATAAGCGCTTAGAATAAAATGCGATTTTTCCTTATTGGGCCTTAGTACCTTAACGCCGGGAGTGCACGATTTTGACATTCAACTGTAGACTCTCACCATGCCTTAATCGACACGAGAAAAATTATGAAAATCTCTCTACTTTATAGTCTTGAGGGCGCTCTTTTCAATGGTGGCATTTAGAATTTCGAAAATTAACAATTTACAACGAAAATAGCAAATTTACGCAAAAAAATGTCTTTTTGAGATGAACACTTTTTTCCTTTCAAGTTTTAGACTACGAATCATTATTATATGAGGGTAAAGTATACATAGAACTTGCCATTGATGTCTCTACTTTGAGAAACCATGACTAATTTTGTCAAACAATTTTTTTTTTTTAAACAAAATGATGGCCAGAATGTAAAAATTGACAATTAAGTTTTACTATTTTTCATCTCACAAAACATTAAGTTTGGAAGAAAATTTAATGGAATAAAAAAGTCTTAAAATTGTTTAAGAACATCCTCAAATTTTTTCAGAATTTTCGGGAATGATTTTGAGATATTTGATTTTATGCATTTTCCAAAAATTGAAAAATCGCCCTCAAAAATTCTGAAAAAATTTTCATTTTTTTTTAATCATAAAACTTTTTTGTTCTATAAACTTTTTCTCTCATCTCAAATGTTTTCAAGTAAAAAATTATATATTTTTATCCGTACATAAATTTTTTTGCATGATGTTATGGATGCATGGGATCGTAACTTAGTAGCAGTTATTGAACTGTATTATTAATTTTTATTAAGATTTCTTCAAGTTCAAGAGTGCTCGTTGCCTCTATGGTAAGCGAGCTAGGCATCGAGACAACAGCCATTCGAAGGGCCGTGGGTTCGAATCCCGGTTAGAGCGTTCGGTTTTTTATAATATGCATAAATTTTTTACGAATGCCATTTGACAGGATGAGTATCCTGTGATTCCCGGCTGTCTCGAGACGAGTTTTTCTCTGGGTATACCTTCAGTGCGAATTCACTGGTTTACCTCCAGGTTTTTCATTGTCCCACAGGTCTGCGGGCCTGGGCAAATGCAAGACAGTCGATGGTTTGGACAAGACAAAAGAATCCGCTGCCATAGGCAGGGAGCGACGGCCTTGCCGGCGATCAGCTGAACTTTAAGGAGAGTCATACACCAATTTACTTCTTTTTGGCATTTTTATACATTTTCAACACGAAATTGACATATTTGAGTCCAAAAAATGTGGAAAAAGTTGCAGAATAGGCCTTTGCATCTTAAAATACCTTATTTTTGCTATTTTAGACTTTTGGCAATGTGCGCAAGGTTCAGATCAGAATTTTTGAGGTAGGGATCCCGGATAGGAATCAATATCTTCAGAAAAGTATCCATTATGGTCTGAGTTTTCTAGAATTTTAATTAGAGTTATGAAAAAGTTTGTACACCAACAAATGTGAAAAAAAAAACAAAAAATGAAAAAATTATTGATGTTTTCAGCAATTATTGAATTATAAAACTGATATAAAGGTCGTAATCAAAATTCCAGATAACTCAGCTCAAAAGGATACTTTTCGGAAAATCTTGATATTTATCAGGGATCCCTAGCCCAAAAACTCTTACCTGAATCTTGCGCACAGTGTCGAAAGGTTAAAATAGCAAAAATAAGCTATTTTTAGATGCCAAGGCACATTTTTAGGGCTCAACGATGTCAATTTTATGTTGAAAATATAGATTGACTTTTAACTATGATTCATATTACAAAAATGTCAAAGAAGAGTGAATTGGAGTATGACTTTCGTTAAAAAGGACTGCTCGGAGAAGCTAATTGTCCCAACCCGATGCTGTGGCAAGAGAGAGTCGGTTTAACCGACGAGGATTGTCGTAAGTGTACAGGGCGACATATCCGTGGAGAGGCTGGCCACGGCGAGCTAGGCACCGTTTTGCTGACATGGTATGATACCGGAGACGCTCGCTCGGTGTAAGCGCTCAGGATAAGATAGAGGCTGGAATTGGTGCGGTAATATACTACGGGTTTGCACTATAAGTATACTCACCTCGAGACAGCCGGAGCTCATATACCGCCGCATGACACTCGGAAAAAAACCGAATGTCCTCACCGAGATTCGAACCCAAGGCTCCTCGAGAAGCCTATTGTTTCTGGGGCTAGCTAACCACTGAGCCGACGACCGCTCTAAAGTTTTAGAAATAAAAGCGAAAGTAATTTTTTCATAATTTTCATAATCTTGAATCCTAATTTTTATAATTTTCGAAGTTTCTTGATTTATTTTCAATTTTTCATCTGATTTAATGAACTTATATTTTTTTTCAGCAAATGGAACGGTTCAAAGTTGTAGAGAGAGAAACAAAAACAAAAGCCTATTCTAAAGAAGGCTTAGGAGCAGCACAAAAATTAGACCCTGCACAAAAGGAAAGAGAAGAAGTTAGCAACTGGTTATCCAATTCAATTGATGCCTTGAATTTACAGGTATTTTTTTTCGTAATTTAAATAACGCCATAGAAATACGGATTCTGTTATTCATTTTAATTCCTTGCTTTTTAAAATTTAATTTATTCAAAACTATAAGAGCTTACTCAGCTTTACTTGTTTAATGAAGGTGAAAATTAGCATACAGAATTTCTTATATCTCATTTCATTCAATCAATTAACTTTCCGTTCAGCTTTTTTCAAGAACTAGAAATGCAAATGGTAAATAAGCAGCTGATCGAGTTTTTTTCTAGATAAAGGCAGTGTAGCCAACTCAAATGATCACTCAATGTTTATTAAGAGGTTATATTTATGAAGTATTTCAATTAAAGACTAATAGGAGACAAGGTTGTAAAAAAAAAACAAACCCACGAATTAATTTGATTCGTGAGTGAAGAAGATCTATGTACCTGTTCAATCCATCTGTAGTCTAAAAAGCTCATAAGAACTGTGACTTTCTTGAAAAATTCCACTCTAGTCTACTTTTATTACCTTGGGAGAGAAATATGTATAAAAAAAAGGAGAATGAAATTTTAAAATTAGAAATTATTTTTATCTTATCCTATAAGAGTGGTGAGGTTTTCAGCGTTAGCAGTTTATAAGCGCTGTGATTGGTCGTTCAGTAGCTTGCAATTGTTTATTGGGGCGCAAATACGAGTATACATGCTCGTCGATAAGAGCCCCGTGAACCGTTGCAAATCCTGTTGGTCTCATATTTTTAGCTGAAATTTCAACTTTTTTTTGGTGCGCTTCTGAGAACCAGTCGCGTGGAAGGTAAAATTCGTAAAATCTGTCCCTTTGCGAATGGGTACGTAAACTTTAAATATGCTTGGAAATATTTTTATTATAGTTCACGTTGAAGGTTTATTCCAGACCTTTAAATTGCAGCCCACAAAATAAAAATTGAATCATTTTAGCTACGTATAAAGCTAATCTAGCTCAGCTATTATCATGAAAATCCCGATTTTACACATTTTTGAAATGTCCAAATTTTTTACTCAAAACTCGAAACGTCACCAAAATTTTGTGAGAGATAGTCTTTTGAATTTTCGAAAAAATCTTGTGGGTTAATTTTTGGTATCGAGCCAAATCGATATTTTTTTGTTAATAGAAAAATCGAGTTTTTAAATTTAAAATAGCTGTAATACCCAGCTTCATTAGCATTTCAAGGAGCGAGGGGTAAATATAACTTGTAAAATTAATTTCTTTCAAGAAGAGGTCAACACCTTCAGATTGAGCCGTCAACAAACTCATTTCGTGCTTGTCCACCATATTTATCGAAATGAGAAAAGCCAATATTAACAAATTTAATATGCAGGGCTGCCGGCAATAAATAAAGATACCCCTGGAAATCTCATGGAGTAAGCTTGAAAAAAATTAAAAACCTCATATCCGACGTATTTTTTAACAAGGAATCCAATGTAAACCTTAAATTTGATCTTGAACGTAACCCCTAAGCTACAGCGATCGAAAGTCGATTTTCAACACGGTGACCCCCTTTTTTTATTTCAGATTTGAAAAGAGCGGAAAATTTTACTTTAGATTATGTCTTTTGTTTTTTATGTCAAGGTGATTTCAAGGAAGAACTTACATCAAAATTGTGTAACAACTAAATTTACGTTATAATATGAATTGTTATAAAAATAGTACTTTACGATACTAGTGGCATAAGTAACACTTTTTAACACGGCGTAGTTTAGGGCCCGAGCGCAGCGAGGGTCTTAATAGCTGGGTACCAGAAAGTGCGACTCATGACTCGGAAAAGGGGGCATAAATGTGAACTTAGCACAGTGCTATAAAATGTTGTACGATACTCGTGACATAGGGGACACTTTTCGGCCCAGTTATTAAGACCCTCGCTGCGCTCGGGCCCTAAACTACGCTGTGCCAAAAAGTGTTACTTATGGCACTTGTATCGTAAAGTACTACTATGCAACGGGTGTGAATACGCTTTTTTGCAAAACGAGGGGGCTCGTGCTGTAAGCAGTTTTGCTGAAAAAGCTTATACATCCAAGTTGCACACATTTTATAGCCCAAGACCGCTTGGAAATAAAATTGTGGTAAAATGATGTGAAAAAGTACGGCAAAATTATTGATTTAGCTCGTTTCCCATGATTTAAAAATCTCCTTTAAAAAAAATTAGGATTTTGAGCTTGGTTAGGAGTATTTTTTGGTCGTTCAGGTGTAGTATGTACACTACAGGCCGATTGAATCTGCAACAAACTCTAAATGTAAACACAGCGAATTCAGCGCCTCTGCCTACACTAGTCAATATATTATTGTTATTATTGTCGCCTATGTTATACACAAAGAAAGTTTGACTTTGCTAAGTTTACGTTTGGAGGTTGTTGTAGATTCTATTACCTTTTAGTGTACATAATTTTCATACCAGTGGATCGAAAGTGACTTCTTCACTGCCTTTGCGCAAAGCGTGAAAAGCAATTTTCGGGACACTGGGCATGAAATATAGCATATAGGCCTAAACCGTGAAAAAAGAAAGCCCAGAGCAGTAATATACTATTACTGTGAATGAAAAATTTTTATATTATTTAAATTTATAAAGCCATTCTTCAATTAAAGCTCGAAACACTAGATTATAATCTCAAATCGTGTTTACAAAAAATTTTATTTATGACGATTTTTTATTTCAGTTAGATACATTCGAGTCCGAAATAGAATCTTTATTAGCTGGAAAGAAGAAAAAATTGGACAAAGATAAACAAGACAGAATGGATGATCTGAAAGCCAAACTTGATAAACATAGGTATCACATACGTAAATTAGAAACATTATTACGTATGCTTGATAATATGTCCGTTGAAGTTGATACGGTAAATTTCTTGGAATTCATCTCTAAATCATATATTTTATTATTTTATTGACATCATACAAATTTCTAGATCAAAAAAATTAAAGACGACGTTGAATATTACATCGAATCATCGCAGGAACCCGATTTTGAAGAAAATGAATATATATATGATGATATAATTGGTCTTGATGAAATTGAATTATCGGGAGTAACAATTCCTTCTTCAGCTACTACTGATAGTAATAATAGTAATGATACTGGTGGGACACCAACGTCTACCAATTCATGCACTTCTCCTATTCCATCTCCCTCTTTAAGTTCAACCATGCATAATCATTCAAGTGATAGCTCTACAGATAATGATAAGAAATCGAAGGTAAGATATAATCTGATCTGAAGAATGATTCATCAAATAAACTTACATAATTAATATATATTATAATTATATATCAATAAAAAATTATAATCATATATCATATAAACCATAAAACATACTTGCGCATACTGTAAAAGTTTTACATCAGATTGCGCCAAATTAGTTAAAATTTTATCAAGTATTATGCTCATAAAAAGTTTTCATATTTATAATTTTATTAGGTACCTCGTCCGCGCGTTTAGGTTTCAAAGCATTCATTAAGATGAATTTTGTCAAAGATTCTTGGTTCACCTTTACTCATTTGAAATTATCTACGGGTTCAGACTAAAAGTTAATTGAATCTACCTGACATCTGCTATTTATTTTAGAGTGAAATATCTGCCTTGAGACTCATTCTCTCTTTCTATTGACTTTTTTTTGATGGCATACTTCGCACATAGATTAAAATTGTACAATGAATTACCGTGTTAATTGGCGTATTTTGCAAATGTTTCTTTTATCAATCGATCTCGACCACCTTGACCAGTAGAAATCGTTGAGTATCACATCCAACATATCTTCGGCTAGTACATAATATTTGATTTTTTCCTTCTTTTTACGCATAGAAATCATTGTATTCATATTGAAGATGTTAATCACTTGACACCTACTCAACCGTTTGTACTGTTACAAGGTTTTTTGCTTAGTCTGAGTCTTTCCGATCAAAATGTCCGATATAATTTTATCGCACTCGTTTTGTAATGACCACTTTCAGTTGTTTTAATAAGTTTCAACATGTCGAATTTTTGGTTTCCGATGATACTGTTAGAAAATATCCTGACTACCCGTAGGATTAGAAGGTGACCGAGGAAAACTGATAGAAAATCAACAATTTTCTATATTTTTATCCGATATTTTTTACAGCTCCTTTAACGGTTAAATTTCATCTGGTAACAATTTTAAATTGATTGGAATTTTTTTGTTTTGAAATATAATTTCTTTAAAAAAAGTACATCCTGTCACTTTAAAACTACGTAACACCTGAAGAACCTCAATAATTACATATTACCTCGGTCAAAATTTGGGATTTTCCCGTTTTGTGGTGTAGTTAAATTTTCGTGTAAATTACTGTACCTCCGAAAAATTACAGATGCCCAAGTTTATCGCTTATCTGTAAAAAAGAAATCTTCTATGGTTACCCCACAGCAGACTCATAGATTTCATTAGTTTACTCAATTTCTGAAATTCTATTATTTGCTTATGATTTCATTTTGCGTATTTCCCATGACGGAACAGGCTTTTCCATCAATACTTTCTTGATTAAATAAAATACAATCGAATATTGTTGATGCAGTTGAATTTGAATAGTTTGTCATGTAATAAAATAGATTCTTAATTTAACTTCATTCCATCGTAGTAAACTGTTGAGTAAATTTACCTATCTTTTTCTTGTACGGTGTCAAATTCAAAAATGAACATTTTTGCAAACATTATGAAACTTCTTAAAGTAATCGAATATGTATAATGATTGTTTTTTTATCATTTAGATTAAAAAAATGATTTTATTTTCAGCCACTAAAGCCAATGGCTGTGAGACCAATGCCTAATACTCAAGCAAGTACAACTATGACTTGCAGCACCTCTAACATAAAAACTTCTTTGTCAAGTAGTACACCAAATAAACAAGCTGTGACAGTAAGCCATTCTCAAATAAGTTCCATGAGTCACGTTACTACGAATACAGGAAATTTCGCAACAATCACAGCAGCTCATGGTAATTGTCAAACCAGTCTTTCATCTTCAAACAAAATACGTACGTCAATTAAGTAACGAAGCATTATTTGTCTTAAATCTAACTGTAAAAGCGTGTAACCTCTTTTTCAAAAATTTCATAAATATTATCTTTTTTGCATGCTTATTAAAAATTCTCCTTTATTTTTCAGAACATGGCAGCGAAAATGGATTGCAATCGTCAATCATGGCCAATGCTGTTATTACACCTATAGTTATTACTCAGCATCAACAGCAACAAATGACTCAACATCAGGCTATTCAACAACTTCAAACTGTTTCTCATTCTTCCCAATCTCATATAACTCAACAACATAATAACAGTACAGCACCAACACCTCATATAATTAATAATCCGCAGAATCAAAACATGTCGGAAGAGATGGAACTAATTTCTTCTGTACCCTGTTCTGCTACTCCTCAAATGAGTAATCAATCTTCTCCAATACTGAATCATTCTATTTCGCCCGTGACATCTACTGCAAATAGCCATCTATCTAAATTACCTGATAACATGTCAACTCTAAAATCAATTGCGCAGCAAGTAATCGTTAGAGCTGGGATAGAAATTCCTTTAACTGAATCTAATAGGAATATATACGATACTTCGAAAATTAAAAATTCCATGAACAATAATATTAATCTTACGGCAGAAGCGCATATTCCACCATTGCTCGGGGTTGCTCCCTTAGGTCCAGTTCCATTGCAAAAAGAGCATCAACACCAATTTCAAATGATGGAAGCAGCCTTTTATCATATGCCTCATCCGTCAGATTCAGAGCGTATGAGACCATACTTACCTCGAAATAACTGTCCAACTCCTCCTTATTATCAACAGGTAAGGAAAAAATATAGATGACATATTTCTTATGAATTTTTAAAATTACATTTTTCGTGTCTTTGTATTTTTTTTTTATTTATCGTAATTTTATAGAACTGCATGGTTCAAGTTCTCGTTTTAGGCACTCCTTGCCGTAACTTAAGCTGCTCGTTATTTCGCCGCGATTCTATTATGAGCAACTGATATCTCGGCAAAGGAGACTTACATTATAATTTAATACAGTGCTCTAAAAAAGTATACGATACTTGTGACTTAAATAGCTCATTCTGAACATGCATTTAGCATCCTCGCTATTCTCGGCTGCTTACTAGGCTGTAAAATCATAGGCTGCTAAAGAAAATCCATACCCTGGCCAAAAATTCAAATACATACATATAATATACTTTTATATGCATACATATAATTTTTAATACATGTATATAAAAGTACTTTTAATACATGTATATATAAAAGTGTCCTGGAACTTCTACTGAATATTCCTCATAACGGCTGTATGTATGGGAAACTTCATTTTGATGTTCTTAAGGTCCCCATAGAGAATTTTGAGGAAATATTCCGTAGATATTTCAGAAAACGTGATTAAAAATGTTTGTATTCGAGCTGAGGTACGGATATAAAAGGCTATAGGAGAGTTTAAAATTATATAAAAGTTTATAGAAATTATATAATTATCAGTGTCTCTAAGAATTTTTTTGCTCTCTTACCCCATAAACTTCTTCAGAATACAAAAAAATTCATTCACATGACTATTCAAAAAATAGCGTTATATAAGGTTTTCGAAGAACACTGAAGATTTGGGAGTCTTTCTATATGCAGCCAAGGCTTTGCCCAACATCTACAGGCTAAGTTTAACCTATTAAACTGTATTAAGACTTGTACTTTATGTAACGAACGAATAGGTAACTTAATTGATTGCTATAGTTCATTGATTAAATATTTTATTAATTTTATTTACGTGGTTCCCAGCTGATAGATTTAAAGGTATTTTTGTATTGGAAGTTTGAGTCCATAACTCATACAGCTTGTAGCCGAGAGTAAGTGATAGTCTCGGACCAAGTGAAAAGAGATGTATTCGACTCGGTAGCTCGATAAAGAAGTAGACTCCTGATTCTACTAATTTTTACTGATTAGAAGAAGGAAAGCATTAATCTCTACTCTGTATCTTTAAATACCTAATTAAGAAATTTACAGGCAGAAAAGAAGGTATAGATTCGTTTAGTTGAAATTACATAGCGATATATCGTTTGGAAAAGTTGAAATATTGTCATTGCTGTAACTTTTGTTTTGAAGTATTAAATTGTTTAAGAACGATTTTAAAATTCTTTGAAAAATTTGCTACGATTGGATTCCTAAAAATATTATGTTCACAGTGGAAACAATATTAATTGTTTATTATATTGCAATTCTTATAATTAAGTATTTAACATTGACGTTGTATAACTACGTTGAGATACTTGTTTGAATTTATTTAAGAGTTACAAGTAATAATAAAAGTAATATTTGATTCATAAATTATTAAATTATAAATCTACTTTTAAAAAAAAGAACGACCGAAAAGTGAAACCGCGTAAAGCGACCTCTGATTGGCTGACACTGACGACGACGCCAGTCGCGAGCCGACTCGATACGAGCGCCTGCGCTGCTAATTGTCAACAGACAGTTAGTACGTAAGTAACCTCAAAACGCGAATGAAAAAATTGACGCGCGCGAAGCGCGTTTGAAACATTTAGTAAATCTTAATAGCACTGTGAAGTGATTGGGATGGCGATTGGTTGCGATAGCCCCGTGGGGCATAAGTTCACATCTATGACCTGCTTTTCGGTGGCATAAGTCGCTCTTATCACACTCGCTACGCTCGCGGACCAAGCTCATTCTACGCTACCAGAAAGTGCGATTTATGCATCGGAAAAAGAGACATAACGCCGTTGCTTACGAGTAAAAACACAGTGAAAAACGCTACGAAAAAAATCATACTGATAAAATGCCCCGAAAAAAAACACAGCACATTGGATACCGTGAAAAAAAACACAGCAAATTGGATGCCGCGAAAAAAAACACAGCAGAAAAAAAACGAAACAAGTTTCAATGCGGTTTTTTTTTCGCGGCATCCAATGTGCTGTGTTTTTTTTCATGGCATTCAATGAGGTGTGTTTTTTTCGCAGCGCTCCGATGAGGTGTGTTTTTTTTCGCAGCTATCCGATGAGGTGTGTTTTTTTCGCAGCGCTCCGAAGAAGTGTGTTTTTTTCATGGTATCCAAAGAGGTGTGTTTTTTTTCACGGCGCTTCGATAATGTATGTTTTTACTCGTAAGCCAAGGCGATAAATGTGATTTAGTACAGTGCTATTACATGTAGTACGATCCTCGGGCCATAGAGGACACTTTGGCGTGGCTGAGAGCCCGAGCGTAGCAAGGGTCCTAATAGCCGTGCAGGAAAGTATTAGTTATAGCCCTTGTATCGTAAAGTACTCTTATGACACGCGTTTTGATGACATAAGTATTACTTTCTGGCAACATGTCATTTGCATCAACGACTGTTTTTGGCGATTTTTACGCATTTTTGGCCTTTTTTCGACGTTTTTTGCACGTTTTTCGACACTTATTGTTGTCTACAAGGCGTTACACTTTGAGGCTCATTACAAAACATTATCAGGCAGTAGTTGAAATCTCGTCGCCCCAGTGCAGGAAGGTATCGCTTTCAATTCTACAGCAAAAAAAGGAATTTAATCGCGCGCAGAGGCAAAATGGTAGCTTATTCGAGCACGGCGCCAAAACAGAACCTTGCTCAAATGCAGTTACAAGAAAGTTTTGACTCGCTGAATTTCGGTTGGCAATGTAGCCGTATATGATGTTCTGAGAGGAAGATAGAAGTGATCGTCTTAACCCATAAATAGCTATAACTTTTTAATTGCTCAGAAAATCCAAATTTCAAGCTCAGAGTCTGAAAGGGCATTAAATTTCACATCGATATAGGTATGTTTAGGTCTAAAAGTAAAACAAAAATCGCTGCGAAAACCAACAAAAAAAATCAAGCATTTTGGTTATTAATGGGTAAACGTTACATTGAATTAAATGCTGAAACAGAATTTCATCATATATGGCTGTGTTGCCAAGAAATTGTTAATCACTGAAAAATTACGACTTTTTTATGATACAAAAACATTTTATATTTTGGTTTTTTTCTTTAAAATTCAATATAAAAAAGGTAGAGAAGGCCAACATGAATACAGGCATTAGTTCATAATTCAATGTAGTTTCAAATTATTTGAACCAAATTTTTCTACGACGTCTAGTTCAAAATCTCATTCTCTCATGAATCTATCACATAGCTTGCTTTATAAGGAGGCCATTTTTAATTTTAACTAGATGAGGTATGTTTTCGTAAAGATAGCGACTTGATAAGCGCCAGAAACTCATTATACATATTGGCAATCATAAAATATATTTCTTACACTCTACGTAGTCAACGCAAATGAAAAACACAATCATTGGAAACAAACCTAAGACTTATCCAGTAAAATTTAGTGCAATGATCAATACGTTAAAAATTAAAAAAATAGTACGTCATTTTGAAGCCTCATGTCCACCTTCTCGTGCCATTGGGACATTTTTTAGTCCAGCTATTAGGACGCTAGCTGCGCTCTGGCCCTAAACTAAGCCGTACCAACAATTGTTACTTATGGCACTTGTATAGTAAAGTACTATTGTGAACTTTGGTCATGTTTTTTGCAGTGTGAGTCAAAAACATAAACCTTGATCAAATTTTTACGTAAATCTGCTTGTGCTATGGGAAGGGTGAATAAATCATAAGAAAAGTGATTAAAATATATATACAAATCTTTATTAATGTTCAATTAATATTAATAATATAATATGGCAGTCAAAGGCGACTCAATCAAAAAAATAACTAATAATTTGTTTAAGTTCAAAATTAATAACAAAAAAACCTTTATGTCCGAGACGACAACTTTTACAACCTTTAGAAGTAAGTCGTCGGACTCTCTTTTTGCGACAATAAACTTCTATTTGCAAGTTTATTTGTCGGATTCGCCAAGTTTATACAACTGTCTAAGACTTATATAGTCCGAAAATTGTTTACCAAAAAACAGCACTAAACAAAGCTGATCACTCCTATCACGAGCGACGGCGACCTAAAAGCTATTGCTTTCTACTGTCCTTCTCTCAGAATAGCACGGCGACCTAGGAGGTTTACCTCACGACCGTCTATTCTTTGAGCTTCGTGGTGACTTGTGATTTCTCACCGACCACTACTCGTCTAAAGAGTGTCAACTTTGCTTCTTAGAAGCTGTTGCATCAAGTGACTATGCGGTCGGAGACGCCTATATACGCTTTCCAGCGCTCAGTCGCTTATGGGAGCTACGCTCATGGTCAGGCGCCACCTAGTGGTGTGAAGCGTAAACAGGTCAGGAGCGGGCTACTAGATCTGGAGACTATCTGTGCGCTGTGCAATAAATTATCGTCCAAGATAAACGCGTTCCAATTTTCCATTTACCGATGTATAATGTGTATGGGCTTTTCCTTAAGGTGGCTAAGTTAGTAATCATAACAATAGTAACCAAAGCGACTACTTTCACTTTTTCGTGTTATGCAGTTGGCACACTTCGTAGTTTGCGACTGCGCCGTAAGGTGGCGCGGCGATGGCGAAAACGACGGTCGACCGTCGTCACATTTGCTGAACTAACCTATACAGAACTTACATTTTGACAAGTTTTTATAAACATATACAGTTACTTTTGAATATGTGCGCGAGTGGCGCCAAGCGGCCGTTACAGTGTTGCCAACTGATTGAAAATTTCTACAGCATATCAAGGGCACTTTAAATGACATTTCTGCAAAGTTTCATAAACATCTGTTGTCGACCCACTTTCCTGACTAGCCACCTTAACCCTGATTTTCAAAAAGCAATATAATAAATGAGATATTTTAATAAGTTGAACTGCCTTCTCTTCAAATTCAAACTTGTGTTGTTTGATGAATAAATAGAATTTACTCGATTTCATTTTCAATAAATGATTGTCGACTGAAGCTTAAAACGAAAAATACTTCTTACAATTTTTTTAGAAATCTATTAAAATTTTTTAAGTTATTGTTTCTTTCATAAATCCAATAAATATAAGTATATTTTATATTTTCTACATCATTTTTTATAGGTTCAATTACCTCATTCGGATACTGTAGAATTTTTTCAACGTCTTTCAACGGAAACGTTATTTTTTATATTCTATTATATGGAAGGATCGAAAGGACAGTATCTAGCTGCTAAAGCATTAAAAAAACAAAGTTGGAGATTTCATACAAAGTATATGATGTGGTTTCAAAGACACGAAGAACCAAAAATCATTAACGAGGAATTTGAACAGGTAATATTAATAATTATTAATACTTTGATCCCAAATCAAAAACAGAAATGAGGCAATAAGATCATGTAACTAATCACGATACACTATTAAAGCAAACCAAAGCAGTACTTTATGATACAAATGTCATAAGTAGCACTTTATGGTAACACGAAGAGAGGTTAGCGCACGAGCGTATGCGAGTGTGATGCGAACGCCGCGGTGCCAGAATGTGCGACTCAAGCCACTAAAAAATGTGCGATAAATGTGGACTTATGCCCCACAGTGCTATAATGTACTATTTCAATGCCCAAAATGAAATACTTAAAAATGCTTAAATATGCCTCATTCTCTTTTATAAATTATAATAATTTTGAAATATTTACACTTCATATTATGAATTTTCTAAAAAATTGAATTATTTTTCAGGGAACTTACGTCTATTTCGATTACGAAAAATGGGGTCAAAGAAAAAAAGAAGGTTTTACATTTGAATACAAATATTTAGAAGATCGTGATTTGAATTAAGAATCATAAATTATTTCCTGAAAAGTCGCTACTTCTCTAATTATACAAATATTTTATACCACCATTTATTATACTTGTAAAAAAAATCTGCGTAACTCCAAGAATTTAAAAATATCTAAATGCTAAGATATATGTTAAATTTAAACAATTTTGAATGACGATTGTAAGACATATTTTGCACCATATGTGACGTAACAGTACATATGAAGTATTAATTTGTCAAATTTATCAAGTTATTAATAGTAATTAAAGTATGCTTATCTCTATGAAGGCAAAACTATTTTTGTCATCTTCTGTATCGTACGAAGTTGTGCATTTTTGTATACTAATTAGCCTGTTCTTGATGAATTTCTTTTACTATAAATTTACGTAAAAATAATATAATTTCTTTATACCAAATTTCATGTTTTGATTTTATTTCAACCATATCGTGTCATCGGGACAGGAATAGGATGGTGTACGTAGTTGTGAAGTCACTGGACACTTATAATTGAGTGTGAAAAGGCTTCATTGTGTATTGTCAACATTGCATCCATCGCTGCTCCGCTGATAATGACGCAGCGTGCGGTCTGCTTCATTGTATACAGTAATATCATTTTTCTTAATAGCCAAATAATTTTTTCTAAAGTTATGAAAATTCTATATCTGAACTATTACCACATTATCTTTATTGGTAAAATATATGTTAAGGATGGACTGAGGGGTCGGGAAATAACTGCACACGTTGATAAAAATAACAAAATAGTATAATTTATCAGCCAAAGAAATACAGCGAGCAAACAGCTCGATCGAGAAATTCGGAGGTACTCGAAAAGTTGGTCACCGTACACGGCCGTACGCGAGCTCCGCAATTTTCGGAGTCGCGTGCGTATCTGTATCTCCAGCGTCTCAAGTCGCCACTCGCTCACACACCACACACATTCACCGCGATGCCGCAACGAGCGCTGCGATCGCCCAGCCGCCTGCGACTCTCAACGCATACATGCCATGACCGACTGTACATTTTGTGGTTGATTTATAACATATATGAAATTGAATTATCAAATATAAATATTGAATACAACAATATTAAGTCGCAAAATTCAAGTTAGTTCTGTATGTTTACTTTTAATCGATCCTTCTCTTACTATCTTATACTGCTCATTATTATAATTAAAAGTGAATTGTCGCGAGTGAAAATACTACTGTTTTTGTACGTTCGAGAGTATAAGCCCGATAGTTGAACAGAGATACCCGTTGACTTTAGACTATCAGATTATTTTCTAAAAGATTATTGATAAAAATGGAAATAATTACCAGATAATTGATTAGAGGATAAAGCAAGAATACATCTTTGCTGCAAGTCAACGATTGCCTGTTTAGAAAAACGGAGGAAGGTACGATTTGTCAAAAATGTTATTGGAAATGTAAATTAGAATCCAAATGTGGTTGTTGACTCGTGACAACCATGCTTAAAAAATGTGTAATGAGACAAAATTTTTTTTGAACAAATGACTTTCATCAAGAAATAATTTATAAATGATGGTCTGAAAAGAAAATGAAAAAAAACTTACACTTATAAAATTTTAGAAAAAATTTTAACAAAAACGTCCCCAATAGTAAAACCTTCTCTACAAAATTTTGCGTATCTGCGCAGGAGACTTCGCGGAATGAAATTGCTCAAAAATTGAGATCAGAATCTTGCGGCATAGAATTTTGCAATCACAACTAATTTTACATTGTTTGTGGACTAATTAAAATAATTACTGGCCCTTTTCAGCATGTTTCATGCACCAAACATACTATCACTTACTCACGTTATCAGAAATTTAAGAACTGACGCCCTATGCATTGTCGCCATCTGCCTAAATCAAATTACTGATCACAGATCAAATGACTGATCACAGCGCTTTCATTTCGATGATTACGAACAGGCCATCACTTTTCTAAGATAGAAATGAGGACTGAACGATACCGCAGCGCCTCTATGCATTCAATGTTAATTTACATAAGAACTAGAGGAATAGCTAGCACATACGTATTATACAGGGTGTCCCAAAACTATGGAAACCTCTGAAAAGCGGCCAAAATAAGCGGGAAAAAAAATCGATAACCCTATATTCGACGTATTTTTTCACGGGAAATCTAATGGTGACCTCAGATTCAACCTTGAACATAACCTCAAGGCTGCAGCGACTCAAAAATCGATTTTTCAAATGTAACCCCCATTTTTTATTGCAGATTTGTGAAGAGCGGAAAATTTCACGTTAAAGTGTATGTTTTGTTTTTTTTTAAAGACCATTTTGAGGGTGATACAGGCTCAAATGAGACCCCAATTTAACCTAAAATTAAGCTCAGAAGAACTTCATTTTCTAACTGTAGCGCCCTTAAAAATGATATTGGAAAAAAAACATAAGGGGCTATTCAAACGTAAAATTTTTCGCTCTTTTCAATGGTGACCTTAAATTTGACCTAGAACATGACCTAAAAGCTGCAGCAACTCAAAGTCGAGTTTTTACACGGCAACCGCAATTTTTTATTTCAGATTTGAAAAGAGCAAAAAATTTTACGTTTGAATAGGCCTTTATGTTTTTTTTCCAATATAATTTTTGGGGGCGGTACAGTTAGAAAATGAAGTTCTTCTGAGCTTAATTTAAGGTTAAATCGGGGTTTCAATTGAGCCTGTAGCACCCTTAAAATGGTCTTAAAAAAAAAAACAAAACATACATTTCGACGTGAAATTTTCCGCTCTTTTCAAATCTGCAATAAAAAATGGAGGTTACATTTGAAAAATTGATTTTTGAGTCGCTGCAGCTTTGAGGTTATGTTCAAGGTCAAATCCAAGGTCACCATTGGATTCCCCGTAAAAAAATGCGTCGAATATAGGGTTATCCAAATTTTTTTCCCGCTTGTTTTGGCCACTTTTCAAAGGTTTCTATACTTTTGGGACACCCTGTATGTATTATCGATACGCATAAGCAAGAGAGAGAAAGACATCTCAATCCCGTGAGCTAAGCTGACTGCTGTTGCTTATGTTGTTACGTTGCCTCGTGCGTATACGTAAACACAGTCATATGCGCGTGCGAGAGCGAGAGAGAAAGAGATACGACCGCCGAGTTTCGACAGCGGCCAGCAGCAGAAAGCAGTTCTATGTAGTTGGCGCGGCAGCCAATCACAGCGCGTAACGCAAACCGACGCTATATAGGCAGTTATACTACCAAAGTTGCGCTCGCTCGCACGGACGGACGGACGGACGGACGGTCGGTTTTTACGGGTTTACCCTTGATACCAAACGCGAATATAGATGTTTCACATCAATAAAATATCTCTTAAGGGATTATAAATAGCAAAAGTATGAGCCTGCGACCATCTCTCACGAGTTTTGGTTGTTTACAAGATATTTTGTTTATCGTAGCCAGGAATTTCCCAATCTCGTTACCAAATATACATTTTCCGGAACACACATTTTTTCCCATCAGTAATTGTAGTAAATGTTTTCAGATGGTCCTTCAAGGTAAATTTTAAATTGCAGAATTAGTTTCAAGTTCAATAGCGCAGGTTGATTTCCTATGCAAATGGATCTCGATCCATTCCCAACTGCTTAAAGACATGAACGCTAAAGAATTGCTTCGCTTAGCTTGAATCACTTCTGATAAAGATGGTCCGGTAAAATATTTTGAGGTTGCCCCGTATCCCTGGATTGGCGTACTTGTTCTCTGTTCACCAGTAGGAGCTGTGAAATGCACTTGAGCAAACAAAGTTTCTCGCTAAACTTTCCACGGATCGACTGTGGATGGACAGTGCCGTCAATATTTCTCTCAAAGGTGCTAGTGCAGGATCTGGGGCGAGACAAGCTGTAGGGCCTTCGTAAAATTTTCCAAACGACGTGGGAGGCCAGCTCAAATTCGGGGTCACAATGCGTCAAATTTTCATTACGCAGTTCGACACGTCATTCAAATATTGAACTGTGACTGACGCGAAGCAGCAGCGTCGCGTCAAGAGTTGCAAAAACGGTGTATATGTGTACCTACGAGTGTGCGTGCGCCTTGGCTATTGAAGAAGCAGCCCTCTCCCCCACCTACGGTGACAAGAGCTCTATGCACTCTGAAGTGCGGCATTATCATGCGGTTTAGAATCTATCTAACCAAAGAGCATGTGCTCAATAGCAGCTCAGCATACTCATAATCAGTCTACTTCAACTGGAAACTTTACCAAATCTTAACAGCTCTAAATACACTAGAAGCTCGTTTCAGCAATACCGAGCTATTTTTTAAATAAGAGAGTTTTTAAACATGCTTCAAAAGAGGTGTTGAAAAATGCGTCAACAAAAGAATCTGAAGAGCCTCTAATCTGTGAATATAACTTGATCGCGATATCCAATTTCACTTTGATAATATCGAGCAGCTCCAACGAGTAGCTAACGTTTACCCCAGTCTATACCGGCGGATCGCTCGGACTGACCCAAGATACTAAATTTAAAACTGTCCGGGGCGTTTTCAAATGCCCAAACGTAAAGTTCGCGGCTTTTTTGTAACGGATTCTGCCCCCTCCCCATCTCTAATGCCACCAAGTATGCACAGACGGCAATCCCTGATGAAGGACCGGCTGTAACCATTTACTTTCTATAAGTGAGACTAGCAGAATGTTAATGAAATATAATTTTGAAGCTACAGCTGCATGCGAAGGTTGAAGCTTAGTGTGCTTTAAATAAGCAAAATATTTTCAAGTTTATCACTATCAGTCTAGTTGACATCATAAAATTTAAGCAAGTACAGTTCATGTTATCTCAGCGCGCACTTCGAATGCTTGATTGTTTGCACGTCTAAACTTTGAAGGCTGTAACTTGGCATCTGCTTGATCGATCACCTTTCAAAGTATCTTAAAATTTTTGTTTTTTGACGTACTTTTATTTGCACTAACAAGGAGACCTTCTCACCTTTGGGTCATGGATTTTTACTAAAATTTGTTTGGGGTCTCCAGGAACATAATAATAAAGCTCCCTATGCTTAGTGTTATTGATTTTAAAAGGGGTTTTCTATTTTATTTAAAAATCTTTGAGATTTTCTATATCAAGATAGGAGAGCTTGAACAAAAAAATTCACGGATCAAAAGTTTTGAAATTTTTTAAAGAAATCTGTCTGAATTTTTTCTGAATTTTTTGAATCGTCCATTACACTTCTTTAGAGGTTTCTGATTTTCGCAAGAAAAGCATCAAATTAGGGTCTCTGAAAAATGTTTCTAGTATTCTCGGGTTTCGACTTTTATTATTTATTTTTAAAGGATTAGAAAATATAGTCAGACTCGACACTAAGAGAAAAAAAAGTAAGTAATGTGCGTTACAAACATTTCCATCAAAGCGTCATAAATTGGATACTAGATTTACGAATATAATTATTCTATGATTCAGTGACAGCAACACTCAAATCCAACTTCAAAAATTACTCAATAATTCTGAATTTTTTTTTACATCGTCAATGGAACAAAAAAAATGTTTGAGGTAAGAAGAGTTTGAGAACATTATCAACACGTTGAATAAATCCAGTATCACAGAGTAACAATGTTATATCAGACAAAAAGTCTTTCATATGAAAATCAGAAATTTTATCATGAAATCCATTAATTCTTCGTACTTATGAGGAAATCAAGTAATCTATAATAAGTGACTATTAAAGCGAAATTTGGATTGGGCTTCAAGGCTACTAATTCGATTACTTCGGTATTTTCGCGGTATCCTTCGATTCTTCAAAAATACCTATGCAAGGAATTGCTCATTATCATGTAAAAATATTCATTCTCAAAAATTGCCATGGTAATACAGAAATAGAGGAAATCAAAAAAACCGTTGAAATAAGGCAGTCAAAATTATCGATGATGCATCACAGCTTACTGACAGTGAGTTACGACAGTAGCACCGAATTTCTCCACTATGAACGCACCAAGAAATATGAAACATAAAGATCGGACTTTTTTTTGAATCGCTTCGCGTAGTCGGCCATAACTTTTTTCCTTCGTGAATTTCGTTGTGAAATTTTAACAGAGCATTTTGAAGAATGAAGAATAAAATGTGCCCTTAAGGTAGCCACAGAGCCTTATAGAGAAATATTTAGTAGAAGTTTCAGAACACTTGTTTCCAATTTTGCGTTTTATTCTTGAGTACGGATCTTCTGAAAGAAATTTTTCCAACGTTTTTTTATAACTACTACAGGATTAGTCCTCATGAAAAATGATGTAAGATACAAGATGAAGTAGCAAAATTATTATAAGACTATTTAACAAACTAGTATGCAGATATACAATCAACTTCAGGCTTTTTCTTCCCCTATGTTCGATATTCTATTATTAAGCATATATTTAAAATAACAGTAAAAAAAACTGATTCTGTAAAAATGGGGCAGGTTATCAATAAGTTTAAAATTTATATAAGAAAAATGTCTTAATTTTTAATTTATAAATTTATTGCCATGACATTCCTTAATAATATTGCGCACATGTGTGTGTGTCTGATACAATGTTTTTAAATGGAATCACTTAAATTAAAAGCAATATGTTCAGAAAATTGTTCGGATTCGTGAGATTTTTTTCTTTTCGAATTCACATTTATAAAACAAGAATGTAAATTATAGTTTTTTGTCAGTAGAATCAAGTCATGGTAGTTGTTCACATACATAAAATAATTTATCAGTATTTTATTATATTGAATATAACAATGATTAGTTCTATATTAAACGAAACCGATATTAAAGTTTCAATGACATCTTATCAAATTTTTGTCGTTCTCGCTCTTCTTTTCTAACTGCTACTGCTGCTTCTACCAATATGTGTAAGTAATTAAAATTTTCAGAATCTTCTGCTACCATATTAGTATTAACATGACTAATGTATTCATTATGGTTATTTCTGTCCATATATGCAGCATTGACTGCATGATCAGATTGATTGCTCCTGAAAAAATTTGAATAAATTATTTTTAAAATTTTTCTTTTCATAAACGATCAGAACAATATTTACTATAAATCTTAAAAAGTAAATAATAATTTAATTTAATTTATCAACGTTCGAAATGGTCAAATTTTGACTCATTTTCCCATGTTTTGGGTCTTGAAAATATTTTACGACGTAAAACTTGATGCTCCTTTAAAATACAGGCTCTAATTTTAAATTTAATGAGTAGTAAAAAATATAGATTAAACAAATAGAATATAAAAATTTGTGTATCAAACTGACTTCGACAACTCATTTGGGTGTGATTAAACCACAGAATCTAATTTTGATCAAAGAATACAAGGGAGTAGAAATATCTTGGAAAATTTTGACGATAAATGGTATAAAATGCTTTTTAAAATCCTAATCAATTTTTTATATAATAATTATTACATTTAGAGAGAAAATTTATAAGACAGAACAGTCTGTCAGAAAAAACATGAAATCGCATTTTTCTAATTCGATATAATTAACACTTAGATATTTAAATTTAAATTTATCCCTTAACCTTAATAGTTTTTTGGAAAAAATGTTGTAGCAGAGTCACAATAATTGATATTTTTTTTTGGTAATATCTGTTTTATAAGAATGCGCTACTAAAAAGTTTTGACTCATTAAATTGTGCTTTTACCATGATATTTAAAATTATCAAGTTTTTTGAAATATTTCGCAACACTTCAAGTTTGCAAGCATCGTTAATCGTGAATAAAGCTTTTATGAGTAACTGGCTAATTACGTATGATTCAACAAAAAGTAATAAATCGTCATGAATTATTTTAAAATCGGTTGTTTAGAAATTATAATTATAAATATTAAGGTAACGCTGCAGATCTATTATACTCGTTCAAGTTGCGCAAATTGTTTTTCCCGACTCGAACCTAAAATATTACATTTTAAGCTTTCGTGAAAAAAATTACTATCAACTGCTGCAGATATATGGTTTTTTTCACCGAAACTCGATACAGCATTCGCCTTAGGCTCGGGCTATAATATCTTTTTTTTCAGTAAAACTGCACGCATTGAATAATATACGATTTTCTTATACTTTATATCTATATTGTTATTAAATAAATCTCTTTTTTCCTTATTTATCTTTATAACATTATTTTTTGAATTTATTAGTTCGGATTTCCACCTCTTTTATTTTGCGTTTTCCTAGAAAACAATTCTGAAAATTTCAATCATGTCAATTAGTATTAGAATTGAAATATTCAAATCGGTTTTCCTGGAGAACTGCTCAATTAAGTGAGGTTATATAAATAAATAACCTAATAATGCATTATAATGAAAAATAATTTCATACTCACACTAAGTTTGAGCTCGTAGGAGTAACAAGAACACTTTCATTAAAAGTAGGAGCATTATTGATATCAAGTTTCACAGGCTGATCATACTGAAGATTATTTTGCGCTGGTTTCTTTACATCCTCACAAATTTTTTTATTTCTTCTGGATAAAGTGTATTTGTGAGGGTCGTCACCTTCTTTTCTTATCATTTCAGGTAAAATTCGTCTTCTAGCATTAATGAACCAATTGCACACCTAGAAAAAACATTTAATTATAGAAGCTGATTGAAATAATACTAGTTCATTTAAGAATTTAAACGTACATATTTATAATGTTTTTAATCACGACTTTTTTATAGTTACTGTAATATTATTAAAAAAATGGTAAAGAATTGTTTTCACAACTTATAATTGCAAATAACCAAAGATATACTCTTTTCTGTTGTTACCATACATTTTTAAGAGTAATATTTAAAGAAATCAATTCAACTGTGACTGTTCAGTTACAACTATAGGTTTTTAAAAACAATTTTTCGTTACATTTACGTGTATTTTAAAAATTGTAGGGCATTTATGATCAATATCACAAAATATTCGAATATGCATTGATTAAACAAATAATAATAAAATACAGCTACTATAAGTTATCATATTTTTCTATCGATTTGCAAAATGCCAAGGCACTATGGAATTTTCACTTTCAAAAAAGCTAACTTTTTAAAGGATTAATAAAAAAGTGGGCACAATTTCAAAAGGATCTTATACTTTTTGAGAAGTCTATGTTAAAAGACAAACAATTTTCATTTTCCGAAATGGCATGATTAAAATCGGTGAGAAACGTAACTCAAAAAGTAAACGATCCTTTTCAAAAGTTTGCAAAATTCTTTATTCGCCCTTTAGTCTTGACCCCAGGGGCATCCTCGTAGGAAAAATTACTCCAATGGAATATTTTCGTTGATTTTGTGAAAAATGGTCGTCTGAATCCGAATTTGCATGTTGTCAGACCGGAAAATGATCAGAAAATTTTTTAAACAATTTTCTTTAAACAAATGCACAAATTTGATATTTTCCACCCAAAACTAATTTTACAGGTTTTTGGGGACATTTTTAAAAACAAAAGTACTCTTGTGTTTTTTCTCTAAAATCGATATTTTTCAAGATATTTAACATTTCGAAATTTCGAAAAAACGCGAAAATGGCTGTTTTCAACCCTCTGTAAAAGGGTTAAGAATTATGAATTTCGATGTTGGCAATAGCCCTAGATTATCTTTATAGCTTCATTAATGAAATAAAGAAACGAAAAATTTTCAAAACTTAATTATTAAGCTACGGTTTTCAGACTCAAACAATAGGCGCTCACACAGCGTATGGCCGTTGTATATAGACGTATACACGTATACGCGCGCCTATTGTTCAAGTCTAAAAACTATAGCTTAACAATTAAATTTTTCTTTATTTCATTAATGAAGCTATAATAGCTTTTTTTCGAAATTTCAATGTTAAATACCTTGAAAAATATCAAATTTAGATAAAAAACACAAGAGTACTTTTGTTTTTAGAAATGGCCCCAAAAACCTAAAAAAATTAGTTTTGGGTGGGAATTTTCAAATTTGTGCAATTTGTTTAAAGAAAATTGTTTAAAAAATATTCCGACCATTTTCCGGTCTGGCAACATGCAGATTCGGATTCAAATAACGATTTTCCACAAGAAACAACAAAAATATTCCATTGGAATAGTTTTTCCTACGGGGCGCCCCTGGGGTCTGGACTACTTTGAGCAGGTACTGACGGCGAGGTATTTCAATTTATCAAAAATTTTGTTGTTTATAACAAATTTTCGGAGAATAAGGGATAAAGGTAGATATTGAAATTTAAGGTACAACATTTTCGTCAATTTAGCTCTGATTAGACTATTATTCTGACAGGATACTCTTGAAAGTATATACAATAAAATAAAATAGAGTAAAAAATCCAAATTTTTAAATCCAGGACCGTACACCCCTTCCCTTAATAAAATATCTTCAGTACATTTAACAGGTGTTATATTTTACATCTCACAACGAAGAAGGACAAATCTGAAAATCGCGAAAATATACCAAGTATTCAAGTGGAATTCCCAACATTTGAAGAGTGCGGAGGCTATGTATACATACAAACATTGTTTTCTACTACTTTTACATTAAATATGATGAAATAAAAGGAAGAGTTTTCAAACTATCGCAACCTTACCTGTAAAATGGTGAGATTGGCTTGCTGACTTAATGTCATTTTTTCAGCATCACTTGGATAGGCATTGTATCTATGATCAAAAAGCCATCTTTTCAATATTTTTACGGAGTGCTTGGGTAAATTTCCTCTGCGTTTTCGAGAAGATTTAACGTTGTTGATACTTGAATTAAACTGTGATTCTTTAGTAGAAGTAGTCGACGAACTATTGTCTAGATCAGAACTGCTGTTTTCATCATCTGTACTTGACGATGATAATCGCTGTCGATCTGGAACTAAATATTACAATATTATCAACAATTTAAAATATTTTTGATGCAATTTAGTTTCAAGATTCATTTAAATGAAACTTTTTTGACACAAGTACCGTATGCCAACTTATAGAGAAGATAAGAATGAGCAGTCAAGGCCCAAATTTACACAATTCTTATTGCAAATCTTTTTCCCTTTTTTAGTGGTTTTAATAAAAATTCAAGAAGATTCAATGTATATTTTTTGGGACATCAAATTTCGGATATATATGGGTTACCCCACATTTTTATCCAACCTGTCCGGTTCGAATCAGGCTCGGGTGAGGTCAGATTGGCGGATATTTTTTTCGAGCTTACCCCTACTTTTAGATCTTTCCCAAGTTTTGAAGTCAACTAAATTATTTTTTATGAGCCCAAATTCTTCAAATACTATTACACGATAGTTTGCTTAAAATTTGAGCTAAAATTTGAGCTCAGTAGCTTTAATAGATTATCTAAAATGCAATAAAGACAGAGGAAAATGTTTTCTTAAGAACTCGAGCTAAGCAGACTTATTGATTGTACACTCAAAACCCAAACAAATACACCTGTATCTCGGCTAGGTTAAAGAATTTTTTCGAATCTGACAACAGCTTTGGGACAAAACCTTAATAAATAGTACATTGAAATTTTTCCATAGGTGTTAGTACTAAGCTTTTCCTATGAAGAAAAAAAAATGCACTTCTCTCGAATTATGCAAAAACCACGTTTTTTGGCACTCAATTGCTTGTAAACTAATATCACCTTTTTTTATGTCCTCACTTATCTTGCTCCCCACATTTACTCTACACACCAACAAGTTTCTGTAATCTGTATTCTGTATTCTGTAGACCCTTTGTATTCGCGGAAAATACGTTCTGTAAAAGTCCGCGAATCAAAATCACTTACATATGTCAAGAGGTTTTCATTTTCTTTTTTTGATGAGTTCGATTAGAACCCAAAAACCGCGAATAGAGAAGGGGGTTTGTATAGGGAACCACAAAAAAGCGAATTCCGCGAATACAGGAATCGCAAATACAGAGGGTCTACTGTATAGTGATAATACATCCGAGTGGCTCAAAGATGAAGGCATCAATCGTATCTCGATCACTTCTTCAAGTGTCGGTGTCAGGGTTCAGTAATTTTCCTTTTATAATACAATTTTTTTGAGATGATACCAATCTGTATTTCCATTGGTTTTCGTACATTTTAAGTCTATATTACCTAATTATTTAAAAAATAACGGTGAATAGTTTCAAGTGCGACTTTTACAGGATTTATTTGTACTTAATTTCATTTTATAACTTCAATTATTATTAAAATCAAATCAAATCTAAGAGTTTAACTTGTATTGTAAATTGACTTTTGATAACACATAATTTGAAAAATAATTTTTGGCCATAGATATTGATACTATTTTAATATGTCTTATCATAATCACTAAATTAACTTTAACTAATACTTTCAATTATAAGCTAAGCTGTTCACACATAATATTTTGTTTATTATAATGTCATAGTCCAAATTGAAATACGCTATTTCCTCACAATATTTAACTACTTTGGTCGTAAATTCAGAATTTATGTCATAAAAACTTTGGTGATCAGTAACAAAGTCCAAGTAAAATTTGTAAAATAAGAAAGCATTTTGTATGAATTTTTCTAATAAAATTATCTAAATCAGACTCAGTTAAGTTATTGCAGCACATTGATTTTCTATAAAAGAACATTCTTAAATTTTGAGAGTTTTGTTTTTTAAAATATGGACAATGACTAGAAAAAAAAACAAAAATAAAATAGCAAACGTTAACTTGGGTAAATAGTCTAAATATCAAAGACGTAAGGATGTCTACTATGATGGTTTATAACAGTTGATTCATTTCACTTATGCATATTTTTCATTGATACCATTGTATAGCATATTATTCCATCTTTTTTATCATCTAAACTTACAACTTTGCACACCTATACAGACACTGTTGTTGTTTGTTTACACTTAGTGTACAGGCATGTAGATTTCTGAGATGTACAGTTTGAATGGTGCCTTTCTCAAGCATATATTTACAATACCAAATTTTAATTACAAATCAATCAAATAGAAATGTCTGAAAGTGGAATAAACGAACACTAATGGTTTTTATGTTATTATAACATAATATCCACTGCTTCTTGAATAATTTTTTATTCCTCAAGTTCAAAAAAATGATAATGGCAAAACCAACCCAAAAATCAAAATTTCAATCCCACTTTCTGGAAGTTGTTGTAGAGCTTAATAGAGAAATATTTAGTAGAAGTTTGAGGAGACAGGATTGAAATTTTTTAATTTTGGGTTGGTTTGCTATTGTCTTGAAAGGCTAAGTTTAATTATATCCGAAAACTTGCTTATTTATGCTGTTATCATTTTTTATCAAGCGCATCGATCAGAAGGAATAATGTTAAATGACTTTTGCAAATTTAAAATTTTTTAAGAATGGCTACATGTAGACTTTTTGAAAAGGGTACTAAAATGATTCAAGAATTTTAATAAAATTTCAAAGAACATTAGATCCCATACATTTTTTAAAAAGTTAGATGCATGATTATTGCTCAATTTCTTTCACAAAAAAATTGAAAAAATTGAATGTTTATTGTGCACCAAAATTTTCTTCGTATTATTTAACAGAATATGTTCTCTATAAATTTTTTAAGTCTGTTTTGAGTACGCAAGGCTATACCCAGTCATGATATACTTGATCATTAGTTTTAATGGTGACCCTTCATGAATTGCATACCTCTTTTTAAAACTGATTCTTCAAATTTATTAATAACTTAACAAAATCTGAAAAGTAAGAAATTGCTAATACCTTTAAATAAGCAATTTTTTTAGAGAATTGTAAAATTAGTTATAAATGTATAAAACCTATCTGTCGCTATGATTGCTATTATTGGAACAATAATGTTTCATCAAAACGAATATATTGTTTTTTTTTTCGTATTATTCAGATTAAATTATGAAATTTAGTATTGAACTTTTTGTTAACATTCAGAAATTGAAAGATGTTTACATACTAACTCACTATTTAAAAATGCATGCATAACACTCCTAATGGCTTTAATTTAATAATTTTTTTATAAAAGAATCAGTAAAATTTACTTTTTAAGCTAATTTGATCAACGAAATATAATTTTATCATAGTTATCTAACGATATAGACATATGATTAATAATGAAGCAATATTCATTATATTATAAGTTTTAATTTAATTATTTAAAAAAAAATCTAGAGTTGAAAAGGCAAACCAAGTTAATTTAGTATTATTAGAATATTTTGATTACGTTCAAAAATTGCTTATAAAGATCGAGATCAACCTGACGAACGGGGATACCAACGGTAACATAAAGGTTTACCCTCGTGTACGTAAATACAATCATCTCTGTAAATTTGTTGGAAAATGTTCATAAAGAAATACAAATTCATTGTCATCACTTCGTACTTCTATCGTAATATTTTTTTCTTAATTTGTCAAATTAAAATTGTTTATAATCTAATTGAAAGTTAAATAAGAAAGAAAAAACTACAAATCTTATAATTTAGAGGTTATATGCAGTCCTTACGAGTCTACTTACTTTTTTCGTAATCATCCTCTTTTTTTATAAGCTCCGATTGTTCCAAGGGATGAAAAAAATTATTTGTTTTAATGGCACAACACTGATCACTTTTCTCATCACCTTCACTTTCATCCATCAAATGCATTTTAGCCAGAGAGTAATGAGAAGATTATCAACTGTAAATTTGAACCTGTATCCAATCAAATATCGAATATATTAATATGTGTATACATTTATTTAATTCTAAGTTCTAATTTTTTCAATTAAATAAGTGTTTAAATTAGTCGAAATTTCATAAAAACCTTGTTATATATGTAATTTATAAGTAAAAAGTGTGCGTTTTTATATCAATGACACGGAGCGAATGTAAATGATTAAGCATGCATGCTGCGGTCTGACTGATCCGGCATGTCATAAGCGTGCACGTGCGTGTATGTGTTGGTATACTTATATCGGAAAATATGTTTATAAAAATTCCAAAACTTGATAAAATTAGTAGAAAAAAATTCTACATTAATTCTTAATAAAAACTTCTTCTGTATTATTACCTTAATAACAAGAATTGATTACCGGTATTTCGTGAACAAGGAGGGATAACTTTTGCTTAAAATTATTAAGATAAAAAAACACGCAATACGAATTTTATAACAATTTTATCAACTAATAACATTCTCTGTTAAGATAAAAGTATTTTAAATTTCCCGATATTATTACCAATAATTTTATAAGAACAAACAATTTTAAATTGAATCTCCAGGGCACGATAAGTCGAGAACTTCTGACAGTAAAATGACGGCATTACAATGCGAATCAATTAAAAGAATACACGATTTAAAATTTTTTACGATTCCGCTACAGTTCCTGTTCCTTAATTGCTTAAGGTCAGTATTATATTTGTAGCCACTAAGGAGCAGTTTGATATTGTGGAGTGTGGACTAGACGATATCGCAGCGCCACCATAAACATACAATTGTACGATGTCATTCGGTTTACAATATAGGATCATAATTAGCAATGCTTATTTAGACATGTAACTCATAACAAGCTATATCAATAATTTTTTTAACTATGTCTGTATGTATCAAGAATATCGTTAGAAAGGTGATAATTTTTAAAATATTCTCCTTCATTATAGCAAATGAATTTCCGAAAAAATTCACAAATTTTTGACATTCATTCTGTGACACTTGTGTTTTGAAAAATTGTCGAAAATAACACGAAACATTAGATTGAATGAGCGAATGCAAGTTGAAAAAATACTTACAAATTGCTTAATTTAAAAATATCTCGAAGTTTAACTTCAATCTGCTGTTCAAAAATGATTTTGGATGTACATTCCCGACATCCCAAACAATGTGTTCATCATATTGGACTAGGAAAAAATATTTTGACCGGCTGAGTTGACAGAAAATCGGCCATATATTATATAATAATAAACATAAAACATATCGTGTTTTTTTCATTTTAGGGGGGGGGTACCTAATTGAACAATGATGTCATTCTTAGGGGGGGNTTCTTAGGGGGGGGGAGATTTTTAATTATGACACCCTATGACAAGAGGGGGATGGGGGTCTAAAAACCGCTTTTTTGCATGATGTCATTTATGGATGTCCCCTCCGGTAAGGCATTCTAATTCGTTTTTCTCGAAGGTCAGATCACTTTTCAATATGATCTGAACCCTTATAAAAATTTCCTATAGGATCTCGCGAAATTCCTACAGGAGTCCTATAGGATTCCAATAGGAATTTCGCGGGATCCTATTGGAAATTTTTATAAGGGAATTGTTAAAATCATATAAAGGTATGAATTTTCGATTAAAAGTTCTAAACATACCAAACTGGTTGTTAATAATATTTATTTTTTATACCCTTATAAAAATATCCTCTACGATCCCGCAAAATTCCTACAGGAATCTATATATTCCTGTAGGAATTTCGCGAGATCCTATAGGAAATTTTTATAAGAGTATTTACATGAAATTCTTTCTTTCCTCTAGTACCTAAATTGACCAGCAAAGGACGTGACGATAATCGTTTAATCGTGAATTATATAATGCGAGTAATGCGATCTCCCAACTATATGCGATGTATATAATACACATGGTGCATATTATATTCAAATCAGCACTAAAATTTTTTAAACAAATTATTTGAAATTTATTATTATTGATTTTGCTTTCTTAACATGATTTCTTATAAAAATCATGAACTTCTGAGTTTATAAGTACGTAAAGGAAATTTAATAACAATTATTTGACCACAAAAAATCTTATGGATCATTTATGATTATCGAGAAATCAATTGTTATGTGTAAAATTTCGAGGAATCATTAGTGCGTATTCTTGAACCATGAATAAACATGAGCCAAGCAACAATGATATGTGTTCAATCGACTATAAAAGCAGATAGAAAATTGTTCTAATTGCCTTAAGGATCGAAAAAACATGTGGCGATGACCTATAATTGAGAATGTTGTTTTATAAATCGAAGCTTGCAGTTTTGATATTTCAACACGGTTATAACATTAGAGCCCTCGGGCCTTATTGAGACCCATATTAGTCCCGAATTTATCTTAAAATAGTATTTTGGCTTATGTGTCATATGGTGCGCCACTTTACGCTATTGGGTGAGCTTACTATCCACTGTGCAGACGGTTGAATGATAACATCATAAGAGCACGCTGTGCCGAAAACGTGCCGTCATATTGCTGACAGTTTGTGTGTTAGGTAATAGGTTATCGCTTCACATCATTTCATGCGATTCTTGTTTATTTACGAGAAAAATGACTCAAGCAAATGACAATGAAAGTCTATCTAACAAGCAGTTTTTGGTATGCCAATGAATTATCTGATTGAAATAACTATTTTACATAAAAATCTTACTACGGAGATATTCTAAGTACTTTACACATGTAACCTCGACTTAATTTTTTGCCGCATAAACTTTTACTTGAAATAAATTATTTTTAATGATTATACATTTTTTAATATTTGAAATTTGAAATAAATATTATAAATCGTATTAATTATGATTATAGAATTATTACATTAAGCAAATTCTTTTGATTAATATGATTGTTTTTTTAGTAACGTTAAAATTTTGATTAGTAAATCAATAGAGTAATTAAAATTTGATTAAATTTAAAAATATTAGTGTTATTTCAATAAAAACTTAATTATCAAATTTTTAAATTACACTATCAATAATATTCTAAAATAAACATATTATTTCCATTCAATTGATGAATATATGATGATGACTACAAGAGTGGAAAGATACTTTAGACAAAAATATTATTATCTTATGCTTATCGATTATCAATCAATATTCTTATATGCTTACACTAGTAAAAATAATATTCAACTTTATTTATTCAAAATATTGATTTTGAAGTTAAAAAAAACTTTTTAAGCAATTAATAAATAAACTATAACCATTTTAACTAACATTTCATAAACATAGAATGAACATTCAAACCATAGAACCCAGCAGAGAAAATTCTTAGACCTACAAAACTTATTGTGGCACACTCTGAACATTTTTGTTATTTAAATCAAAATTTTTATCAGTTATAAGCTTTCTTTAAAATGATTTTATGACATTTTATAAAACACATGTTTGTATTTGATCAATAATTAAAATGAAATAAAACAATCTAAAGAAAGATGAATACTTTTAAACACATGTATCAGCCCCCTAATTTGGTGTATGCTTAATTTATCTCTATTTTAAAATGATTGCATTTTTAGTAATTTTATCAAATTAATCAGAACATATTTTTATATATTACACTTCAGATGATTTCAGATTTGAATTATTTGGTTAAATAAGACCTAAAAAAACTTGCATTTTATGTTTATTTTCAAATCATAAATGCTGTATTAATGATATACTTTGTGAATTTGTTCCAAGACCCTTGAAAAAATTTCATGTAGGATTCGCAAAATTCCTACATGAATCCTATAGGACTCCTGTAGGAATTTCTCAGGATCCTACAGAAAATTTTTTCACATATGTTTTCTTTTGGATTTTTTAAATATTATTTTCTTCTGATCATCATTATTTTTAAAGCTCAGAAAAAATTCAAATAGTTGTAATAATATTGTTAGATAGATCTCACCATTCTTTTACTTTATAATGATCTTTGTGGTTCCGTTTATTTTTTTATTATTCTACCATCATTTTCATATCATTTTATTTATAGCCCCAACAAAGCTTTCCACTTGGAAAAACTTGTATAAAAATAATCATATTCTTTAATAAGATTGCAAAGCTATAAATTATAATTTTCAAACATGGAAATAAGGATATTTTTATATTCGCTTATGCACTACAAATTTCAGTTTCATAGTTAAAGTTGATATTTATCCTACCTTTTACCAATCATGTTTTGAAAATTTATCCATTCTGTATCTGTATTTAAGCATGCAATTTTTTACGGACTAATTTTCGAAAACAACTTGGTAGCGGTAAATAAATTTAACAAATTTTAGCTACTTTTATTGGATAATTTTTATAAGGGTAGCTCGATTTGTTATAAAATCTTACATTTTCATCACTGCTTGTGGAATGTACTACTTTCTCGCAACCCGACAATCTTATAATCGACATTCCGCACGTTATAATGAAAAATATAATTCGCAACTGGGGGTGGTTGTCAATCTTGCACTCGCGTTTATTAAACCTCCGTTACGCTCGGGCTGAAAACTTGACATTCGTGCAAGATAGGCAAACTTCCGACTCCCGTTGCGTAAGTAATCATTTTCGCACTTGATCGGTAGAAAATAATTCTATGACATCGTCACTACTAAATCTACCAATAATTCACATATGGGATATAAACCTTAACTAGTCCGAGTTTCAGCGCGCTGGGCGCGCTCTCTTCTTTCTTATCCCATTTTGCTATTTTCCAATATTTAAAATAGAAAAATAAGATAAACGAAGATAATGTTATAAACTGTACACATAAAAATTAGTCTTAAGCCGTCAATAGCTTAATATTTCACTTTCTCAACTTACTACAACGTTAACACTCGTATTTGCGCGCCACTAATCAATTGCAAACTATTGAACGACCAATCACAGCACTTATAATAAACTGCTTACATTAAAAACCTCACCTCTCTTATAAGAAAGGTTAGGACAGATATTTGTACTTGATCGGGTGCAATAATTTTTGGTTGTATTTTGAAGCTCAATTTTTGGCAAGATTTTAACAACAGTTTCCGGTAGAATTTTTTGGTTTGATTCACTGTGTTTTATAGACTGCAAAATCCAGACAAAATAGTCAACCAGAAAAATAAGGTAAAAATTCAAAACAAAATATTTAGCCGAAAAATCAAGCTAAAAAATTGGAAGAACTAAAAAAAAATAGTAAAATTGGGTACTCGCACAGCTCTTGTCTCTATTACGTGCATGTGGCATTTCACTTCAACTCTCGCAGTGCCGCGCCGCGTGGCATTACTTAGTCGAATCACTAAATTTGTAACTCGCTGTAAAAGTACCTTAATGCACCTAGAGAAAAAAATTAATGCATGATTTCGATGGAAAATGTCCTCAACTTTCCGATTGGGAGGTCAGATTTCCCAAAACTTTTCAATTAGATCGGAAAATTTTTCAGAAAAACTTTTAAGTCGATTATCTCAAAATCTTCTTTTTAAAGATTTTTTCAAATCGTATAGATTACAAAATCAGGATATTTCCCATCGATACAGATATTTTCCGGAAAGGAGTTTTTTTAATTTAGCAAGATATAGAGAGAAAAAAGAAAAAAACGAGTTTTCTGCGCGTGCTTTGCCGACCGAAAATGCAGAAATCACGATGATACTTTGTGTGCAAATAGCTTATTACTTGGTGGGAAACAATAAAAAGGCACTTTTGTTATACCAGTCTTATTTTGCAATCATGTACATCTCTTTTAATTTTATTTTTTATTTCAGTTTGAAAGGTTCATTTATTTTTAACTTTGATTATTTTTTGAACTCCGAAGTAACTAAGGGATAAGTAATAACGTATTAAAGGCTGCTTAGTTATACATTGAAAATATTGATTTATTAAATATAACTTATTGAGTAAATGAATAATTCACAGGTCTACAAAAAAAAAAAAATTTTCAAATCCACCGACCGGACCTAATGGACGTTATGTTTTTGGGGTCGCTGAATCCGAATCCGTGGTCGGTTTTTCAAGGTTGGCTCATTTTAGAGGTCATTTGAAGGTCAAATAATAAGAAAAAGGTAAAAAATCTGAAAAAATCCGTACATGGGTTTTTGAGGATGCTGAATCCAAATCCGAGGTCGGATGACTTTCAGGAGGTCACTTTCAAGGTCATTTGAAGGTCAAATAATTGGAAAAGGGTAAAAAATCTGAAAAAATTCATACATGGGTTTTTGGGGAAGCTGAATCCAAATCCGAGGTCGGATGACCTTTAGGAGGTCACTTTCAAGGTCATTTGAAAATATCCGAAAAAATCAGCCTTATGTTTTGAGGGTCGCTCATTCTAAATCAGAGGTCAGTTTGACTGTATCCGGCCTTGTAAAGGTCATTTGAAGGTTATTTTATGGTTAGATCACGAAAAATGTTTAAAAAAATCTGAAAATACTCATTCAGAGGTTTTTAAGGATGCTGAACTCAAATCTGAAGTCAGATGACCTCTATGAAAGCACCTTCAAGGTCATTTCAATGTTAAATTTATTTAATGCGATAAAATATTGGAAGAAGTTTGTGCTTAGTTTTTTAGAACTGAATTAATTTTTTAGTCTGAGACCTTTAGCGAGCTTACATTCTGGGATAGAGCTGCTTTTTTCCCTACTTAATAAATATAATACATTTTTTCTAAGCTATTTCCCCGCAGTAAAGCAACCAAAAAATCTCTTCATTTTCTAACAATCAATTTTTACTTCCGTTATTATAAAGTTTACATTAATTTCGTTGACATAGCTTCAGGTAAATTTTTTATAGGACTTCGTTATATGTGAATATAATATAGGCTATTTTATTTTTCACTATAGAATTGGGTCACAAAATTTGAAAAATTCTTCATCAATGGATTTTTATTTGATTAAAACGAATGTATTTTAAAATTTTGTGAAACAATGTCTGAGAGTGAAAAAATAGATTCACTATAAGTATATCCTTATGACAAAGTAGAGATGAGCCAGGTGGATCGGCATAGGGAGTAAATTGACAAATCGGCATATTTTTCATATTAATGCACCGTTTTCGTTCGTGACATTGATATGGAGAAATATGCGGCTCTGTTAACTTACCTCTCATTCTGACACACCTTTTTCTCTTCTAGTCTTTACCTGCTGCCTCGATAAGTTTGATGTCGGTGAAATGAAATGTAATATGTCATATAAACTGCATTTCTAACATAACCATTCAGATCAGTTTCCGGAAATCTGTGGTGATTTTAGTAACGAGCATGGAAAACGATTCCATCCAGACATGAAAAGTATGGAGCAGCGGTATCAAGGTAGATAGGATGTTTCGATGATGGCTGATCACTGCTGAAGAGAGTCAAAATAAGAAAGGCAAAAAACGCAAACGAAAACCATTACGCCGTTCGTTTGAAGAAAAAAAGATGCGTTGCGAAAAAAAAGTAAAAACGCATGCAAAATTAAGAATATTTTCTTAATTTTTTACTTCCTTGTATTAATTTAAAGTTGAAATGACCTTGAAGGTGACTTCATAGAAGTCATCTGACTTCAGATATGAGTTCAGCATCCTTAAAAACCTCTGAATGAGTATTTTCAGATTTTTGAAGCATTTTTCGTGATCCTACCCTAAAATAACATTCAAATGACCTTTACAAGGCCGGATACAGTC